GGATGAAATTCAGTTATGATTTGGCCATAAAGGTGAAAGAAATTTATCATTTTATTTTTTTTAAGTTTTTTTAAATGTAAAAGAAAAACAACAACAACAAAACACAAATTACAATTTGAATTTACCTCCAGCAAATGGCAAAAACTGCGAATAATTGACACCCCCTAACCAGCAAAGTTTATTGTTGCCTCTTGATGCAACAAAATTGAAGAAAAGCACTACTTTTATCAAAATAAAGCTCCTCAACTAATGTCAACATAATTCCTTGGCACCAATATGAAACAAAATGGGTAGAAAGCAATTCTTTTATCGCTTTTAGCATGAGCGCAAAAACAGCGGCTGACATGAGTCGGTCAATCAACTGCTCCAAAAGTAAGATTTTCATTTTTAAAGGATCGCCTCACATCAGAGGGAGCACAGTGTGACTAACTGTGGTCAATATGTCTGCTTCACAGTCAAGAGGTTCCGGGTACGAAAGCTCTTCTCGTAAGCAACTCTGACCCATCAATGACAAAAAAAATTCGATGAAACACGTAAAGTGAGACGAATGCTCAAAACAGTAGACATCCGTTGGCAGCTGAAGTAAAAGGACAGAAACAAGATGTGCTTTATCAGCGTCCGCACCTCACTCACCAGAATGAAAAGTGTACGTGATGGCCGCCAGGCGTCTTTGTCGCCACCACGGCTGCAGGCCAGACGGAAATGAGCCCTCTGTTATTTGGACTCTGCGTTGTCATTAATTCTGTCTGCATCAAACGCAGCACATGTTATTTACACTAAAGACCACAATCTGCCTTTGAAGGACGCCAAGCATGTGTTTGCCTGTGTCTGCGTATGCGTGCGCGTGTGCGCGCGCACAACTCGCCTCCTCTAAAGTCATGCATGGTGACTTCTGAGGGCCAGACGGCTTTGTTCTTGAATTTCTGCTGTCTTCTTGCGTCCATGTTCACTTTCTCCACACTCGCGTCATGTCACGACACGTCGGCCGAGCTAAACACCGGATTTTTTTTTTCTCCCCGACGTGCGAGAACGGCGAGCGTCTGCACGGAAACATCTGAATGGATTGAGTGAACGCGTGCCAGCCAGGACGACTGGCAGTGCTTGTTCGTGATGGGGACTGTAAATATTGAGCGGTGCGTCTCTAGAAACCTGTCACATGATCTATTTTTGGCTTTTCTTCAACGCACCAAAATTGTGCTTTTTGTTCATTCCTGTGTTTTTAATGAGCTCCATTTTATTTATTTATCTTTTTATTTGACTGCGATCGAGTCGACTTTGCGCTCCTCCGATCCCAAATTATGTTTGTTTCCAGATTTATAATACATATTCGATTTGTATCCAAAGTTCAAGATCCCTGGTCTGGATGGACCAACTGAATATTTCCAGAGAACATCTCACTCACGTTCTTTCACTTTGTGTTCCGTTGCGTGTAAATATTTAGCATCTAGTTTCCAAAACAACGGAAAGTTTGGAGTCATGCACTGAGAGGTCTTGGCCGACAGGTTTCTTTTTCTGTCTTTTTTTTTTTTTTAATGGCGACGACAAGTGCACTGTCTGAGTGGGCGTGTCAAAGGGGCTTTAAAGGGCTAAATTTTACTGCCACACACAAGAATGTTTGACTTAAGTGCATTAAGAGGCTTTATGGCACACAAGATGAGAGAATAAAGACGAGAGGCAGCGGAGCCGTCGTGACACGCCGGATGATCAATCATGGCAAACAACAAAGCATCACATCTGCATCCCTGGCTGACAGTATTTTGAGCCAGTGGGCCGACAACGAGAGTGAGGGGCTTTTCCCAACACCGCAAACGTCCTGATACTCAAAGCACAGCTTGTTTTTCCAAGACAAATCTGTTCCACATTCTCGCTCGGATTTGTTGTGACTCTTTAGTGACCGCTGGGCATCAAAAGGATTTATGGTTATATTCCCGAATGTGGGAGCCGTCAACTTCCTGGTTGCTTCCACGCAACGCAACATTACAGATTTCTCAAATCAAGGCAAAACATGCTTGTTCTCTATCTTGCCAGACAGTTTTGGGGGAAGAGCACTAAACTTGCGTCTAGCATTTTTTTTTTAATGTTACTGGGATTCGAACAGTCATCTAATTCTTTTGGTCCACATAGAATAAATAGCGTTCAGGGACAGGACAGGCCTAAAAAGGTTTCTAATTCCCGACAGCTGCCACAAAATGGCAAACTATTCGTTGGTACGCCTTGTTGTTTGAAGCAGTTATAAATTAAAGAGGAGAGAATCAAGGTCTCCTTTCACCAGTGGTTCAGAGATGTCGTGATGAAAACACTACTTTTGTCTAAATGAAGCTTTCCAACTCACTTGAGGAAAATTCATTGGCATCAAAATGCCACAAAATGGCAGCAAAGTATTACGTTTGTCTAAATGAAGCTCTCAACTCACTTAAACATAGTTCCTTGGAATCAAGACAAACATAGTTCCTTGGAATCAAGACGCCACTCGATGGCAGTGATGCAATACTTTTGTCAAAATTAAACTCAATGCACTGCAACTATAGTTCTCTGACACCAAATTGCGAAAGGATGGAAGCTAAGTACCGTCTTGTCTAAACAAACCTCCTCAACACACTTCAACATAGTTCCTTGGCACCAAGATACAAGATGGTGGCAAAGCACTACTTTTGTCACAATTAAGCTCCTCAACATAATTATCAAACACCAAATTGCCACAGGATGGCAGCAAAACACAACTTTACTCAAAATGAAGATCCTCAACGCACTTCAACATAGTTCCCTGGCACCATCAGGAGAGCAGCAAAGTATTACTTTTGTCTAAATGATGATCCTCAACTGACTTCATTTTAGATCACTTGCACTATGACGTCACGAGAGCAATACTTTTACTGCATTGTTATTAAATTTGTGTTTTCGTCTCGTTTCCTTGTTTTAGGAAAGCTTGACGAGTCAAAATTTCAGATCTACGGTCAGATAATTCTGCTTAAATCAACTAACAGATTTCTCATTACATGACTGTTATCCCTGGTGTGTCAGCCCTGCTTTCGCATTTTCATGTTTTCCAGTCGAGGGTTAGCTGCTTGTTTGTCATCTCCGTTTTCGTTTTTGCCAGCCAGGGGACTTTTTACCTGAGTCAGGAGCAAAGTGTGGAGGAGGAGGAGGAGGCGGTGGTGGCACCGAAGATGCAATCTGAGGCAGCTTGTCCACTTACGCCTCCGGATCAAGCACCCATCCCCGCCCCTTGTCATCACAAAAACGGCGATGACATCATCTGTGTGGTGTACAGATGAATATCTTGGACTGGACGGAAACTGTGATGTGGGCCGGCGGGGGCAGACAGGAATGTCGATAACTGCACTATGTGTAATGATCAGACCACCATTTACATTAAATAGGATTCTTGCCTTGACATACTGTATAGCCAAAACAAACATACAGACTTGACATTTGACAATTAGCTCCCACAAGCCCTCTGGGTCCTATTTGATTATGATACAGTGTTTGTTTTAATGCAGAACACAAACAATAATCTTTGTGTGTTTTTTTCCCCTTAAAACCACATCAATGGCAAAAATTCTTCTTTTGAACATACCTTACCCCGTTTACAACATTTTCACCCCTATATCGTTCAGATTTCAAAGTCCGATTTTACGTAATTCACTTTCCCATTTGCCGATTTTGCTAACAACGAACACCTTTATAACGTAAACTTCATTACAATGGCAAGATTTTTTTCCCACAAAATAGTGAAAATGCCTTCGTTACAACGAACCGTGGGAAGCTAACTGACGCCGCGATGTTGGTTATGAACACAATGTTACAGCACGGGATTCCGCTCCCCTGCTTAACAACGCTACTGATCGACTCGGTAGATTGTCGTACTTCTGGAGGCACGGCGTGGTCCTGAGCGCATGCTCTGAAAATATGTCTGGTAAAAGGAAGCAAATCTTGCTGTCGGAAATAGTCTCGCCCTTTCAAAAGGGAGTCTCCCAGACGAAGCTTAGCCGAGACTATGAATAGGCAAAGTCAACAATTTCGACACTCATCTGTAACGGCAACAAAATCATGGCAGAGTTTGAGGCCAACAGATTTAAAGATGATTGTAAATGGCTTCGGGGCACGGCACATCCTGAACTGGAGAAGGTACTTTTCATTTGTTGACCGAATGTTTTCTTCATACTGAATACACATATTTGTAATTGACATGTTTATACTGTATTACATGTCATGTTTTTACATCTACAAATGTTCATATTGTATTAGACGTCGTAGTAGACGGCCAATTTATTAGGAACGGTTACAACGAACTACTGTTATAACGTACAGTTTCGTTTTGTCCTTTGAGGTACAGTACTTTGTAATGAGGTATATAGACACATAGATGCTACACATTCAACACTAGCTGCCTCAATTAGCTTGCGTAAAAAAAATTAAAAATTCTCAGAATCGCAGTATTCAACAATAAGCCAACAAGCTATAAAAAAGCTTGAAAAGGGAAGCCAAGTCAAACACTTTCCTTACAATAATATGTTACTTTGCGCCCCCACTAGTCTGAACAAAGCATTTATCCATCTCAGGGGGCGGCCATTTTGTCAGTGGCAGTTGACTAAAAATGAAATCACAGATGCTTAAGGGTCAGGTAACGACCAATCATGGCTCAGCTTGCAAGCGTCACATGGCCAATTTTATTTTAAAAACAGGTGAGCCGTGATTGGTTGTTAGCTGAGCAACAGTGATGTTATTTTCGGTCAACAGCAAGTGGAAAAATGTCCGCCCCCCCCAAAGTGGGTATACGCACACGAGTGGATATTGCTGCTTAATTCATATTCCACAACTGCAATATTAAATAGAATAACATGTTTAGACCAGTGGTGTCGCATAGAACATATTGTGAAGAGTTTTTTGACTTGACTTTCTCTTTAAGAAGTCCATAAAAACTATGACGTTTCTTGCTCTGACACAAAAACACGCCATTTATGGCCGCAACTACAGATACTTGAAACATCTTGGCCACAAAATCATTTAAAAAAAAAAAATCTACAGGTTTCTTCCTGCACTCATAGAATGACTAAGATGAACTGATAAAGACTAGAACAAATGCAGGGTCCAACATGAATGGTGGGTGGCTCGATGGCTCTGGGCCAGTATTGCACCGTGTTTGGCTACCACGTACATGACAGATCCAGGCCCAACCGGCCTACCTTAGATTCATTAAATAAATACAATAAAATCAACATAATCGTGCTTTTTACACCAAAACTTTTCTATTCATATGGTATTTTACAATAGCATATGTCATGTACAGTATAATGTACAATTCTAACAGGGCCAACACAACTTAGCTCATGGTGGCCCCACAGGGCCACAACTCAAAAGGGTTTATTCACACTCTAAAATGTATCATACTGGCAATGTTTTTCCCACTACTATTGACACATTTGGACTACAAGTGTGCAATTAAACCTTCCGAGCAAACTACCAAACTCAACCATAACACTACAAGGCCCAACTAGTAGGATTATGTCCAACACTTCCGGCACCAAAATGCCCTCTTGTAGTTTAGTCTCCATACAAGCCTTGTGGGTCCTTATTTAAAAGCCAGAGAGTTGAGCAAGGAATTAGTGCGCTGGATGTTTACAGCTTCCGAAAAGGCTCCAAATGACAGCTGCTTATTTAAAAGCAACGTCACATAATTCTCAGAAACTCGCTCGTGTTTTTCCAAGGCGGTGATGGGGTTTTTACGACACCGTCAGAAACAAAGAGGCTGTGTTTGTCGCTTCCAGGCTTGCACAAGCAGGTGAGGCTTTGTGTGAAAAATGTGCACCTGAAACCTCCGGTACATTTGTGTAAAGTTCTGTGAAAAAAAGCAGGAGTCTCTTTGGTCAGAGGTGAGTTCCTCAATGAAGCAATAAGCCACAAAAAAAAGGGTCTTATATTCAGCCCTCTGGCGCCATCTACAGAGGTAATTCCCAACCACAATTTTTTCATTTGAATTTTCTGTGACGGAATATTTGACAGTTGTCCAATATTTTGGCCTTTCACATTTAACTTTACAACAACAGAGGAAAAGCAGCTGATTTTTTTTTTGTTGATTTTTGTTATCTTTTTCTTGTGCTGTAATTCTCAATTGAACTCAACTGTATTTATAGAGCACTGAAAAACCACCACTGCATACAGTGTTCATTCACACAACAACAAATAATAAAACAACAAATTAATAACAAAGAGAGCAGAAAGAACAAATACAGTAAAACTGAAAATCAAGTCTCATGCGGAGTCAAAAGCCAAAGAATAAAAGAAATGAGTTTTAAGACGAGTTTTAAAGATGGGCGGTGAGGGGGGGCTTGCCGAACATTCACTGGGAGGTCATTCCAAAGAGAGGGACTGGCAAGGGAAAAGGCTCCATGGTCCCAATTTTAAAATTATTATTACCGGTAGGTAAAGACATAAATGAAAAAAAGGAACTTGGTCTATCTATTAATGCCACTGATGTATAGTGACAGGGCGGCCCGCTGGTCCAGTGGTTAGTGCGTCGACCTCACAGTGCTGGTTCAATTCCAGCTCCGCCCTCCCTGTGTGGAGTTTGGATGTTCTCCCCGGGGCGGCGTGGGTTTTCTGCGGGTACTCCGGTTTCCTCCCACATTCCAAAAACATGCACGGTAGGCTGATTGAACACTCTAAATTGTTCCTAGGTGTGAGTTTGAGATTGGAAGGTGGTTTGTCTGTGTATGCCCTGCGATTGGCTGGCAACCGGTTCAGGGTGTCCCCCGCCTACAGCCCGGAGACAGCTGGGATAGGCTCCAGCTACCCTTGTGAGGATCAGCGGAATGGAAAGTAGATAGATGGACGAATGTATCGTGACAGGCAGACCGATTAACCCGTGAGTTGACATTCATACAACAGAATAGCAGCTCTGTGTTCAACTAAAGGCCCAAAGTCGATTTGTGTGTAAATTGAGACGATATACTTTCAGTGATATTTTTTATTTGGTGCTGTGCCTTGAGAGCTTTCTAAGATCAAAGGTGTGCTTGTGTGTGTGCCATTGACCTGGTATATCCTGAAGGGGATGTATCGGAATCCCGCCTCCTCAGTGGGATACTCCATCAGTTTCCTGTTCATGGCCCAGAACTGCTCGAACTTATCTGCAGCAACCGAAAAACACAAGCGCACCTGTCACTGCAGAGCTAACAAAAATTTGAAATCATTGAAACACAACACCATATTTATAAAAGTCAGACTGGAAATCATGCTTGACAAGTTTTAAAATGCATTTGCAAGTAGTTGGAAAGCTCCCCATTCCCACATGAAACCTTGTAATGCAAGAGTCACATGTCACCGGAGAGGGCAAATGGATAAGTCGGCTTAATTTGGACATCTCGTAGAGGGGTGTGCTCACTTTTGTTGCCAGCGATTTACACATTATTGGTGGCGTGTTATTTTGAGGGGACGGTAATTTCAGTTTTACAAGCTTTACAGTGAAATTTCTTCAGTGTTGTCTCATGTAAAAAATCTGAGGAAAAATTTGTGATTGGTATACAGTACTCACTTCTGCGATATACCTAAAAAATAGGTGGAGAAATAATATCAGTCTTTCACATTGTGAGATCATTCTTTTTCTTTTAGTTATTTCAGAAACTGACTCTTATTTCTGTACTTTACCTGTAAATCTTTTTAAAGTTTTGTGTTTAATGTGTTGAAATGTCATCAATGTATATTCATTTAATATTTTCTGAAAACTACTTTTGTTTTCTCTGCTTGCTTTTGAATGTCGTTCGCTGTTGTGTCTGTAAAATACTGTACTTGCAGGCGTGTGTGTGCTACTTTCCGTCATTAGCCTCTTTCACACTCAACACTCAGTCCTTCCGCCCTGTTGCGTAGAAAACAATTGCTGCTCTCCAATTATTATGTATTTTATCCGTCACTGAAATCATCCAGTTATCCCAATGCGGGAAGCGTCGTCGCACATTATGTCAAAAGCCGGCAAATTTCGAGGGTCCGCTTCAACTACTCCATACATTTCAAACCTGGGAAATAGACGGTTTTCATGGTCACACCATCAAAGGGCCTTACGCCTACTTACTCCTAAATCCATTCTTTGGTTTTGTTTTGTTTTGGGGGTTTTTTAACCCCAAGTAACTGTTCAAAAAGGGATTACTTAATGAGACTCATAAGTCCTGGTTCTATTGTTGCTTTGCAGAAAATCTGTGTTAAAGTGGACAACCGTTCAACAAAAGCAAACATTTGAGTTCGAGTGGACTTAAGTCAACGCCCCCAAACATCGTAACAACTTTGGTTTCTAAAACACATCTCACTGTGCCCTCTGGGTACCTCCGAGATCACAAGCGTCAGACCCATCAGACCCCCCCGACCCCCCACCTCCCTTCCTCTTACACCATCAACATCACACCACACCACAGCCGGCTGGAAGTGGACATGTTGGAGCAGGTCGGAAGGGAAAAGAAGAAGGGGAAGGTGTTTGGGTGTTATCTGAGTGTGGACACCATGTGTGTTAATGAGTTAATGTGTGATCCTATGATGACTTACTTGCTCGACACCTGCTTTGAAACCCGTGTGTGTGTGTCTTTTTGTGTATCTGTGTGTGTGTGTGTGTGTGTGTGTGTGTGTGTGTGTGTGTGTGTGTTCCTCACCATTCTGCAGACCCATCCACAGCTGCTTATGGTCCTTCTTCTGCATGTCGTTGACGACTTGGCTCTTGTGTTTGAGCGCGTCTGCTTCTTTAATGCTGGACATGAAGTGGGCCTCCACGACCGAGCTGGACATGCAGTGGAGCAGGTCCTGGCCCGGAAAGTTCTGCCAACACAAAAAATATTTTGGCGTTGGTGACTGATGCACTCTCGCCATGTGTCGACTACGACATGAACACCCAGCTCAGTCTTTGACAAGCACATGTTGTGGCTAGCAATGGCGAGATGCTAACTTAGTAAATTATTTGAAAAGGCGACTGAACGGGAATGTCGGCAACAGCAAATTTTGTTAGAGGATCTGTCGTTGTCGTTTTATTTTCATCTTAAAGGTCATTAAATGTGTTCAAGGAGAAAAGCCCCCCTTTTTTTTTTTTTGCATTTTGTTCCCCATGTGAACCAGAAAAACGAACTGTGCTTTTTGGCGGACTGTCAAATGCCCGATTGTTGAGTGCTACAGCAAACATATAACTAGAAACGCATGGTTGTAAAAAATTATATAATAGCAACCATGTAATGAGAGCTGAGCCTACTGTAATATTCCCGTCACCTCAACAAGTGACTTCTGAGATAAAACTAAAAATTAAAAGAAGCGTAAAGGAGAGTTGTTACCTTAAAGTGCACAGTGATGCTCCATGGCAAGATAGAGTTGGAAGCATGAAGGTCAAACAGAACACCGATAGGATAGTGCCTAGCATCACGAACAACACAATCAATATCTGTTCATTTGGACAAATAAATACCGACATTAACTCTGTGAATAGTATTTACTGGAACTACTGAGGCTGTGACAGACTCTAAAAGTTACGTGTGGCCGCACTGACACCCTGTGGAAAATATTGGTAATGAAAGCATTGTACACTGACTGCAAGCTAAGTTGTCACATACCTCGACGACTGCATAAACCAAGACCTCAGTTCGGCTCCTCACAAAAGTATATGAAGTGGTACCATTCGTATTTTTTTCCCCACAATATAGCAATTAACTAGTTACTTACCAAGATAAATGAAAAAAGATAATTAATTCAATTGAAATAACTAGCTCTCAGGAAAAATGTTTGAATTAATTAATTCAGTAACAAATATTACAGTAATTAAGTAACAAATATTACAGGAGCCTTAACTAGACCAAACTTGGCACTCCACATTATATACTTGATGTATTTGAACAGGCTACCAAGCAGCATAATTGAAACGAGAGGTTCCCTCACCATTTGAGCGGCGTCCCTTCGTATTCGAACCACATCTCCCCCACATCTTCGGCCCTCATCACTCTTAGGAAGTGCTTCTTCACCTTGTCGGTGACCAGCGTCAGGTAGCTCACCCTGGGCAACAACAGCTATGGGAAAACAAGGTGCTCATTGTCATTTACTTGTACACAACACATTGGACATGGTCGTGTCTCGCAGTTATTCATTTATTGCAAGTGGGTCTGGAACATATCACCTGCAATAAACATTGGATAGGAAAATACCCCAGCCATGAAGAGCAAAAATCCATAAATGAGCTACAAGATAGCAACAAGGCACTTATAGGGGGAGATGATCATAAAGTATCAATACCATGCATCTAGAATGTACAAAATCATGAAACTATGGTCTGTACTCAGGAATAACATTCAACACAAACAAGCCACCTTTACAGGAGGCGTATCAAGCAATCAATATCAATAGAACAGGACAAACAAATGCCAAAAAAAACAACAACAATTAAACCGAACAACAGCAACACCAAGAATCTACAAGATGGTGCCAAAGTTATACATTTGTTGCTTTGACTTGAGCACAAAAACAGTAAATGGGTGAGTGTCTTAATGAATATCGGATGTTTCCACATCACAGTTTCCACCCCCCCAACAAAACAAGTTATGTTTGATAACTTCCATTCTGACTTGATATGAGGTTGAGTAACGGGTGTATGACTTACATAATAAGGCTCCGCCTCTCTCTCTGTCTCCTCGTCTTGGTTGAGAGTGAAACAGGCTGGGATCCGGCCAAACCAGACATCTCTCAGCACATCTTTGTCATCTGCCATGTTGCTGCTCCAGCTCCCAGTGGCTCATAAAGACTCAACGTCTCTCAAGTCGGACCCTCAAGTCCAGAAGCACACAGCTTCCTGTCATACCAGAAAAACCCATTTGTGGTTATTCGGCAGTTACACATTACCAGTCCTAAATGTAACCATCCATCCTCTTCAGCTCTGTTCTCATTAGGGATGCAGCTGAGCTGACGTTGGCAAACAAAGCAGGATACTGGACTGGTCACCAGTCAATGAATGACAAGGCACATGTAGACAAACAAAAATTCACATCCCATCTGCGTACAATTTAGAGTATCAATGTCACTGACATGCCTATTTTTTTAAATGTGGGAGGAAAAACAAGCAAGGGGAACATGCAAATTCCTCCCAGGTAGCCGAAATTCCAACGGCCTAAATTTTAACAAATAACATGAAAAAGTTAATTACACAAGCACACGCAAACAAATTACATGTGTTCAAAAAATACGGATAAATACGTAAACCCGATTTTCCCAACATACACAGAAAATGCGCCCTCGTTGTAAGTATGACTTATACTACTACGTCAAACAATCCACAAAAACAAAACTGCATGGAGGAGGAAACTCACGTTAGCAGAATAGCTAGCTAGCTAGCATATCGAGTAGAAAACCAACGCGGAAGTGTTTTCCAATAGCTGTTACACGTCAGTGCCTTGGCTTTTCAGAGTTTTTCACGACAAAAGAGCATGTTGCGCGTGTGTACAAGTGGAGAAAAGCCTACTTTTGTCTGTGTTTTGCGATCAAGTAGAAGTGAAGAAAAGAAGTGTTTGGACGATGTTGTCATTCCCAGCTGACTGACCGCCGAAGAAGAACTCTTTGACAACAGCGACCCCTAGAAAACTGCTGGCAGCCTGACGAAAGTGCCACGTTTTTATTTAATAGGAATAATATATCTATATATCTTTCATTTTATAGAGCATATGTTGGTATTTTATTAAATATTAAATACGCTTCGAATATTTATAAATCTATAACTACAATTAAAAGCTTACTCGAAAAGTCGTCATTAAAATGCGTTGACGCACCTTAAATACGTAAGCAAGCGAGGGCTGTTTGGGTGATTTCGTTTGTCCGTCCAATTAAAAAAAAGCTTCCAAAATGGACAAGAAAGCGGCGGTTGATAACGTGGAGGTGCGCCTTCAGGCACTGGAGAATCGAATATATGGAGACAGAGGGAATAAAAGTTCGAAACCGTTAAAGGTTAGTTTTCAGGTTTACATTTATAGGTGTGGTCGAGCTAAGAAGCTAACGTGCTGCGAGCCTAGCAAAGCTAACAATAGCCGAGTTCTCTCCCCACTGACCGATGTTTACATGATTCGGTGTACAGTAATTCAGTAGTGTATTATATGTATTTTGGCGCGTTATTTAGTACTGCCTTACTTAATGTCATGGTAGCAATATGTTCAGAATCAATGTCAAGCTCCGTTAAATTTAGCTGGCCTTTTTGAATGGATTTGGACAGTTTGAGTTGTTGATAATTTTTCGAGGTGTATTTAAATTAGTGTTAAGGTATAGATCGTACAGTTGAAAGTTTATATTTTCGATGCAACTTAACATGCAAAAGCAAAGTTGGCACATCTGTAGCTTGAGGCAATCTGTGTCATATGATCCAACATCATCAACCCATGTAACGTTGAGCGCTTTCTGTGTGGTTTGTGCTTTCTTGTAATTGATTAATATCGAGATTAAAAACGGTGGTTTTGAAATAGTATTCATTCCACGTTCATTTGTAGATCCAGCTGACATGTTTTTGGTCTTAATATCAGTAATAATGTCATGAATGTCGTTTGTTTTGCAGTGTGCAGAGTCCTTAGCAAGAATTCAGGCTGGCTTGACCAATACAGCCAACAAGAGGGAGCGAGTGAAGATCTTGCACAAGAAGAGTGAGTCACACAGCCTCTATTATAAACCAATTTCGCCTTTTTTTAAGCCTACTCTATTCTGATGACCTATTTATGTATTGGCGCAGTTGAGGACCTGATGAAGTACCTGGACCCCCAGTTCACCGACCACATGGCTGTGCCTGACTCTATGAAGCTGGAGTTCATCCTTGCCGGTGAGAAATGCAACAATACAGATGCTGAATTATGTTGACTTAGATATGTTGGATATTTTAACTATCATGTTGATGTGACTGTGCCCTCAGAGGAGGATTTCCTGCTTTCCCAGGCTGCTTTGCTGGAGCAGGCCAGCAACCTACAACCACTGCTGGAGAGCACCTACATTCGAGGTTAACCCCGTTTGGTTGTCATGTCAGAATGTGATTAATAATGTTAGCCCCAGTTTAACAAGTCCTCAAGTAATTCGAGTAACAGTTAAAAGAATGCTCAAGGCATTGTTTTCCTACCTCGGCTACCTGATATTTAGTGTACACTGTAAGGAAAAATAAGTCAAGCTAACCACAGCAACACTGGGTCATGCTATGCATGACAGTAACACGCTGTCAACGTGACACGAAGTTCAACTTCAAAATAAGCCTTACCTTACCAAGTAACTATGATTAAAGCCTTGGTATGCTTTTATTTTGAAGTTGTTCCCAGCAGAATGTCGCAAAGGGATGCCTGACACTATCTTGACACGTATTCACTCCGGTAGGTGGGGCCACCTGATATTGCCATCACAAACTATTGCCACGGACATCAACAACACAATATCATCCTTAAACCAAGTTCATTTGCCGCTTAAGGATGCTTAAAAACTAAAGAACAAGTCTGAACCAGGGGTGCCAATAACTATGGAGGGCCGTATAGTGGTGAAACCCTGTCTGTACTGAAAGTTTTTTTGTGTTTGCTTTAAGATGTTCCTGAGCACACCACCAAGCTCCAACGTCTCTCCCAAATTCACATCAAACAGCAGGTAAAATATACTGCATGCCGCCGCTCATTCCTTTCGTTTGGTTTGTTTGGGTTCCACTTGGATTGGACACCTGTTGAGACCTCAATGTCTGCTGTCTTTCAGGACCAGACAGATGCTCAGTCCCTGGAAGTCAAGAAGCTTTTTGAGGAATACAACAAAATGGTACTCATACAAATGTTGCAGAAAAACAATAGAGCAGTAACCCAAGCTAAAAAATATATATAACGTAGCATAACAACTGAGACAGTAAAATTGTCTTTTGCAGTTGGATGTTTATTTGAGTGAATCCATTTTATTGAACCGAGTTTTTGTATTTTCAGATGTTCCTGCTGTCCAAGCAGTTCACCCAGTGGGACGAGAGCCTGAGGAAGCTGGAGGAGGCCAAGGGCCTCCGGCCTGTAGAGTAACCCCCATTCGTGATGATGATGGTGATGATGAGGAGGAGGATGGCGATGGAGTGTGGCACGAACTTCAATTTGTGTGGCTTTGTAACTGCACAAACTACAAAGCAGTTCTGGGATTGTTGAGTTGCTAGGCTGGGGGGCATGGACGGACAGAAGTCGCATGACTGTTGAACACTCGTCTGGAGGATTTTCCTCCTCTCGTGAGACAGCTCAGAGTCACCCTGCTCTTATTTATTTGCACACATGCTACTCTCATCGTAAATTAGATTTTCCAGCTTGTCTCCTGCGAGTTGAGTCATCAGACTTTGAGCGCCTGACCTGTACTCAAGGTTTTTTCCTTTCCGCTTTGTCTCCTGACATGATATCAATGCCTCTGTGTTTGTTTCAAAATGTCAAAACATGACTGCAGGTAATCTAATAAAAATGTTTTTATTGGACTATATGTGGATGACTTCTGAATTTCACCAGCCCTGTAATGTGAGCTTTCATTCCTCTGAGGGTAGTTGCTGATTGTGTAGTGGTACACTCGCCTGACTTGTGTGCTGGCAGTGTGAGATTGGTTGAAAATGGATGGATGGATTCCTCTGAGAATAGACACTTATGTGTTTTTACTGAAGGTACTTGAGTGAGAATGTGTTTTGTTTTTGAAGGTGTGTACAAAGTTAAAATGAATAGAACGGCCCGTTGCATAGTCGGAGTTTGGCAGTCATGGATTCACCGATTAGTATTTTTCTTTTTTCAGTATTTAAAACATACTTTAAAATATTTTTTTGTGGTTAAAAAACATTTTAATGAACGCAATGCGAGCCAAGTAAGACGATCGGCACGACGGGAACTCCGCATTGCCGTCAGTGACGTCACCAAACCCGGAATGGAACTTCACACGAGAGTTTCCTGTCGGCGACGGCGGCGGACCTCCGAGCGTACCGCCATGGACCGGACTGCCGTCGTTAAAGTGGGTGCCGCAGCCAGCGCGAGCGTGTGCGCCCTGTTCGGCGGCGTGGTTCTGGCCCAGTACATCGTGGCCAAGAAGAAACGAGCGGGAAAGAAGACGAGAATCATTGAAATGGTGAGTTTTGAAGCTACTGTACGACATGCGACATGGTAAGCGACAAGCTAGCTGCAAGCAGACGCGGGAAATATCAGGAAATTACCGTTACTTGTCTTCACAATAAAACATTGTTACATTTTTCACAGCTGTACTAGCGAGACGCCCCTGTTTATCCGATGAAATTTAAGTTTTCCATTTAATTACGAAGTTCCCTCAATGACCATAAGTGAATCCCAAGATACAAGCATATGCATAAGAGAATCTTTTACTTTATTTTGAAGGCGACCGGAGGTGGTGTCGTTTCTTTAACAATAGTTACTTTTGTGTTGTTACACGCACGCGCGGATGACCCCCAACAACAGCAACAGCAGCTGTTTTAGAGGTCACTGGCAGCTAGCTTTTCGGTTCACACAACCAGAAAAGTGTTTTTGTGTGAGATGAAGTGAACCCCCGGTTTTCACTCTTGCCTGCCGGTTGATACCGCTTCAAATGTCAGGCATGCATGTAATGCAAATCCTCGCAGGAATCAGTGGCTTGTGGGGGTCCCGTCCAATAACAGCATCCCCAAGTGTTTTACTTGCACAATCCAATGAGATCTGAGATGGTGAAAGCTGTTTGTAATATAGTGAGCCTCTCTTGTAAGCATTTGAAGCAACTTTCAGTGTGATCACAGGCAGATGTTATAATGGAGAATTCACGGACCGCTTTGATATTGAAAAAGTAAAACACACACAAAAAAAGCAGCGAGCCTCAAGTGGGCCCTGGGTTGTACTTTGGACACCCCTGCATTACATTGTCTTGGTGTGTCTAATGTATAAGTTATCAGGGCTAACATGATCATATTTGAGACCACATTTGATGTTCCTGTATGAATGTTTACAGTGATTGTTAGTTGACGGTGTACAGAGAAGAAATTTTCACTTAAGATTTACATGTAGCTGCAGGCCTGCCCTCCTCCTGTACTGTATGTTCATATATGATTCATGTAAGAGGTATTCGTTACGGCTCCGCCCTGACACTTAAACGTTGAGCTTTGCATTCCAGTCATCGGCGAATCACCAGCATCCCTCTGGTCGGTATCAGCACTCGCGTGTTTGGGAACAAAACCAACAAAAGACACACATGAAAGACAAACAACTCAAAGCAAGGACGCACATTGTTTCACTGATTATGTGGCTTGTAGCATGTTTGGGCCTCACAATAAGAAAACAAAAACAAGAATGCATTACTTCAGTGAATTATCTTTTTGTTTGTGCCATATTTATTTCAGTAAGAGACATTTTTTTTGAGAAAGTGTTATTAATATTACCGGATTCAAATTTGATTTTGTAGAGCACAAAAAAAAAAAAAATCCACACTTTTAGAAAAAAAAGCACATTTGCGTCCATCGCACCAACAAAGTCATTCCTTTGTGATGAAGTGCTGCCTCCACCTCAGAAAAAAAACTTTTTTTTATGGGCACTTGCAATATCAATCAATCAATCATACTTTATTTATACAGCACTTTTCATACATGAAAGTACAAGTAAAAATGCTGTGCAATTAAAACATCAAATACACAACATAAAAAGAGCACCCTCCCACTTCCCCCAACATACACCGATACATATCATACACGCACACATACCCTGATGAGCAATATTAAAAAAGACATGGCAAGGAAATGAGCACCGAAGGGGAGCTCATCCACGCTGACAAGAATGACAGCCGCCACACCTCCCAGCGCGAGGCCCCTCATGAGGAAACACTGGCACTTTAAAAAAAAAGATATTTCATAAAAATAAGTTCATAATACTTTAAATAAAAGGTTCAGACATATACAGACATTGCCATTCGCTTTTACAAATTAATTAGGGGGTGTCATGATCATTTTTAACCCTTTCCACTAGCGGCAAATGCTCTTGCCACTAGCTGAAGGTGCTGCTTGCACAATTGTGCATGCTGCCGTCAGGCAGTTTGTCAAATCGAATATTCCAAGCTCTGAGCATGCCCCTTGTTCCCCCTCCTTCTCCTCCTATCAGTAGCAACAGATGGCTGTCACCATGGCAACCAGAAGGGTTGAAGGCCTTTGCACCGTCGATATATTTCCAAGTCTGCATGCATTTCACCTCATTTTCACAAAGACACACTGATTGTATTGAGAATCATTCACTCATTCCCAAAGTACTTTATAGGAATTTCTATACAGTGGAAATCTATGTAGTCAGAACAAAATTAAACTCTACAGTGTTGTCTCACACACACACACACACACACACACACACACACACACACACACACACACATATGTAAAAATCACAGTTGTAACGTTCTTAAATGGAATGTGGAGAATTTAATCGGTCTCCTGCTGTGTACGTCTTTGGCCACTAGGGGGAGTGTAATACATACTTTCTAAAGATGACTAAGAGTAACAACAAAGTTGCCCTAAGAGTCATTTTTTGCAGAAGAAAAAGCAGACAGGAAATAGTCACCGTGTTATGGGAATAATGTTTTTTTTTTAATTTTAGTTTTTTGAGAGAGGGACTAAAAGGTTGTTTAGTAATACAGTGTACACCCACAAACTTGTGAAGATAAGAAAAACTTTATTAGTCTCACAGTGGAGAAATTAACCCAGCCGCTGGGGGGCAGTGCCCTCCCCTGGGGGTGCACTGTTCCCCAGTGCCGGTCCCAAGCCCGGAGAAATGGGGAGGGTTGCGTCAGGAATGGCATCCGGCGTAAAACTTTTGCCAAGACGACCATGCGAGTTGGTAGGACGGTTTACAGGGGCGGATGGAAATTACTGACTCGCTGTGGCGACCCCTGAATAGGGATGTGCCGAAAGGAGAAGAAGAAGAAGAAGTCTCACAGTGGAGAAATTCCCAATTCACAGCAGCAAAGTTATGAAAGGAAGAAGTAGAAGAACAAAATGTAGGATAATTCATCTCTTTGCTGATTTTCTCTATTTTTGACATGTCACCAGTCATTTGCGGAAACCCCCACCTGTATGATTTTATTTTATTTTTTTACCTAATCCATGCTTCTTTTTATTTCATGGCAATTACAAGGCAGCGTGAATTATCAGATTTTGTGGATTATTTTCAGTGTTTTTGCTATTATATTGCTATTTAATTATCCATCCATTCTCTAATCCGCTTATCCTCACAAGGGTCGCGGGCGTGCATATTCAAGCTGTCTTCGGGCAGAAGGCGGGGTATGCCTTTAATTGGTTGCGAGCCAGTTGCAGGGCACGCATAGACAAACAACCAGTTGCACTCACAATCACACCTAGGGAAAATTGGGTGTGCCCAATCACCTGCCATGCATGTTTTGGGAATGTGGGAGGAAAACCGGAGTACCTGGAGAACTTCATACAGGAAGCTAGAGCCGGAATCGAACCCTGCACCTCTGCACTGTGAGGCCGATGTGCTAACCTGTTGACCATCCTGCCGCCCCTATTTAAACATGTACTATGATATAGTGGACCACCGCTATTTGTGGGGGATCCGGAGGGGGCCGGCTCGCAAATAGCGAAAATCAATGTTTGATTCATGCCCATTATATTGTCATGGATTGAAAAAAAATTGGATTTTGTTCTTTATTTTTTACCCCCAAATTCTTGAAAAGTGCCAGTCAGTGTTTTCCATGACAAACAATATTTGGAAAGGTCATAATGAAAACAAATCTGCGAACGGATGAATCCGCGGGTGTCGATCATCGAATACGCGAGGGTTCACTGTAAATTCCTTCAATTCAATTTGAACCTTTTTTGAAACGTTACGTGTTTTCCAATAACTATTTATGTACTTATTTATTGCTACTATTTTTTATGGGGGTCTGTTTCAGCATGGCCTTGATCTTCCAAGCTATCATCGCGTGACATCCGACCATATTCCTAATTCCTTGCGCAGCACTGAAATGTCAAGACAGCTTCATAAATGCCCTTTTTGTGGATATTTTACTCACGTTGTATCAGCTCAATAATATCTGAGCTATTGTCTCTGTTTGTGGGTCATACATGCTCTGAACAGGAGTGCGTGAATAGGCGCTCACATGCGAGTTAGTGCAATAAAGTTTATGTTCCTCTTGAACTTAAAGCCTCCTGTAGCTTTCCGATGCAGATAAGCACGAATGAGTTCGTTGTGTTTTTTTTTTTTTTTTTTTGAGAATTGAATTGAAAAGCATGTGAGTACACAGTGTTCTTATTCTAAACAGCCGTACAAGGAAAAACAGGCTGATGTTTTATGTATGTTGTTTTGATGTAACTCGAGAGCTTTGACCTACTTATTTGTTTCACTGACGGGACTCGTGCAACTTATGTGAAACATTCCTCTCGGGTTGCACTCGTATCCTTGTCACGCAAGTGAGGTCGGTCGACGCTACCACAGCTGCAACTCGACCATGAAACTTCAGCATGATGGGTTTTTTTTTTTTTTTGTTATTGTTGCTGTGCGTTTGTTGGACATGCTAAGCAGCAGTAGTACTCTTGTTTGTGTATGTTAGCGCCATTAAAAGCACCAGCGTTCTTATTCCTGCATGTGCATAGAAACCCAATTGGGATATGCATGAAAAATCAAGTTCCAGACCTAACAATGTAGACACGATATATATTTTTAAAAAATCGTTCTACCTAGCATGGTGGCCGACTGGCTAGCAGTTCCGCCTCACAGTGCAGACGTGCAGGGTGCGATTCCGACTCCGGCTTTCATGTGTGGAGTTTGCAAGTGCCTGGGTGGGTTTTCTCCGGGTACTCCGGTTTCCTCCCACATTCCAAAAACATGCATGGCAGGCTGATTAAACACTCTAAATTGTCCCTAGGTGTGAGCGCGGATGGTTGTTTGTCTGTGTGTGCCCTGCGACTGGATGGCAAACAGTTTGGGGCGTCCCCCACCTACTGCCCGAAGACAGCTGGGATAGGCTCCAGCACCCCCCGCCACCTTTGTGAGGACAAGCAGATTGGAAAATGGATGGATGGATGGTTTTACCCCTCCTCCATGCTGAAACACATGTAAACATTAAAACACATGTAAAACCTTTTAAAACGCACTTTTTAAAAACTCACTTTTATTTTACACATTTTAATAATTAAAAAAAAAAGAAAAAAGTAAATCGCAGATGTGACTTGCATAGAAAATACTGTATCTAAAAGAGTGTGTCCTTTAAGAGGCGGGTCCTAGAGGGGTGGTATAAGAAGGGAAGACTGTACTCACTATACTCAAGATATCGTTGATTTGTTGTATTACATTGATGGTGTTTGTCGATCTGATATAAAAGTTGAGTAAGGGCTTGATGACACAAGTCCCGTTGGACCATTTCAAGCCCAGAGGCACCTCGCACTTAATTAAACAGTCTGAAATTAAGGATGACAAGAACCTGCTCGACCTGACCCGTCAACTGGTCTGTGGATGCATATGTACCTGTGGGCGTGTGTGTGTGTACGTACAGTTTGCACATTTCTACTTTTGTATGTGAGGATAAGTGCTTCAGAAGATGGATATATAGTGTATATCAATGTGTGTGTGTTCAAATAACATGTCTACACATTGCATGCATTTGTACGTTTTTTTGGGGGGGGGTTTTGTGCATGTATGTGTAAACACACCATATATGTATGTTTGTATCGTACGCGGGTGTATCCGCGCTTGTTCACATTTACTGTGCAAGATGAGTGTCTTGTTCTCGTCAAGTGAGTGCATCAGCACATCGCGGGTGTGCATGCGTGTCTATAATGAGATTCAACACAATGAACCTTAACCCCGGGTGGCCTTTCGTCCCCGTGCAATTTATTTCTCACCGCCGCGGTGCGCGTCTGTTCAAATTGTGTGTGTTCAGCAGATGCTCTCATTGACTGGAAAGTCAAAGGTAACATGACAACAAGGGCAGATTGCAAACTTTTTTTTTCCCTCCTCCACCGGCCTCGTATCCCCTCTATTAATAGTGGCCAGTGTGTGTGCTTGTGCATGGGTGTTGACACGGATTAGCTGTTGAGTGTGTGCGCGTGGGAGGGGTCTCATGCTCTGCACGTCCCACCCTCTAGTCTACGACTATAAAAAGGCTCTTCAGCCACACATTCTTTTCTTCGCTCTTGTTTTCCACAGACGACACAGCCCCGGTAAGTTTAAGTGCGCATGTGTGCGTGTGTCAACCGTCACTCTTGAGTGGATACCGAGTCCTTATCATGTTATTGTATTATTACAGCAATTTAATTTTGAGAGCTTCATTATGCCTTAAAAACTCACAGTTTTAGCACATGAAAATGTTTGATGCGTTTTGGACTGGCTGGTACCAACACCGCCACAAAATAATGTTCAGGTGCTAATTGAATACACACATAAAAAAAAAAAAAATTGCTGTCATTGATTACAGTGGTAGAATATCAACAGTCTGTGCTCATGCTGTGCTCGAAGCCTTAAATGCATCACAAAAACAAACGACTGTATTGACATCATCTTCCCAAACTCTTTTTCAAAGAACCAAAAGCCATGAGTGATGCAAAAAAATAGGATGATAGGAAGCTGACTAAACAGCGCCACGAGCGGAAACGAAGCTGCACCTAAACTGACCTTCTTGCCAGACCATTTCCTCTTGCATCGAAGTCTTACAGTTATCCGTTTTCAACAAAACAGACTTACTCAAATGTATACAGCATGTTGTTTTCTTGTCATTGTCTAAAAAAAAGTGGACTTTCAATCTTGAGGTGACAGAATGCAACATGGCGCCCTCAGAGTGAAGAAGAGGTGGAGTCTATCCAGATAGTGAATGGATTTATGCTCAAGCTATTTCAACACTTAAATTGGTTAATACTGCATAAAACAATGTGGGGAATGACCAATAGTATTGGTTTGCCCAAAAAAAAGACATTCACTTTTTTGACCCCACAGCAACGATTTGGAGGTGTGTTTTTGAGTTGATTAAATTTACTGAAAGTCAAGACAGAATATGTCCTCCAACATACCTCCTCATGAGCCTCTTCCTCTTCCCTGTTTCGTTCACAACATATTCGAAGGCGAGAGTGTGCAGTTAGTTTCAAACATGTCGTGTCATCTCCAGTAATGTCGCCTCCTGTCCTGCTTTCAGATGCCTCAGTTCGAGAAGAAGACGGTCCACATGAGGGACCCCGAGAGGGTGGAGCAGATCATCTGTGGCCTCATCAAGGGTGGAGCCTCCAAACTTCAGGTGGGTGAAACTCTGACACCCGCTGGTGACGATGTGCAATTGCAGCATGAGACATGTACAGTCACGACTCCACTTGGCTTCAGCCTGGTGTACGCTGTACACGCGCACGCACGCGCACACACACGCACGCACACACACACACACACACACACACACACACACACACACACACACACACACAATGGTGCCTTGAGGTAGGAGTGACCCCAAATGGTGAACGAAACCCTTTCACCAGACCCCAAACCCCGACAGCGGTATCCTTTCAAAATGAAATGTGCAAATCCACCATCTCAAAATCGGCCGAACTGTCAACATGTGCGTGCCCCGCTTTAGTGATTCACTTGTGCCATTGTCCACCGCAGATCATCACTGACTTCGACATGACGCTAAGCAAGTTTGCCATCAATGGCAAACGCTGTCCGACGTGCCACAGTGAGTCCACGTGGTAATAGAACTCACCAATCACAGGTTGAGCGCATCATTTCAACACGTGTGTGTGTGCGTGCGTGCGTGCGTTCTTGCTCCCAGACATCATCGACAACTGCAGCCTGGTGACGGAGGAGTGTCGCGAGAAGCTACTGCAGCTCAAGAACAAGTACTACCCCATTGAGATCGACCCACACCTCACCATGGAGGAGAAGTACCCCTTCATGGTTGAGTGGTGAGCTGCTTTGCTGGCCGAACTCACGCCACATGCTTCGACTCTCACAAGTCACATATATCTCATATATCTGATATTTAAACTTTTTCTATTATCTACTATATATGATACACGGACATCGTATCCCGTAAAAGATTTGTTTGTTTATGTATGTATGTATGTATGTATGTATGTATGTATGTATGTATGTATGTATGTATTTATTTAGTTCTTTATTTTAATGGGCCAGCGTGCTTTTCTCGAGACAGTGGCGATATGCAGCTCTGATGTTGCACATTTACATCAGAATTATATTATTTTACATGATGCTAATTATTTTTAGGGATGGTCAATGCCCCTTTTTCCCAGACTGATGCCAGTAGTACTTAGGGATACCGACAATTTCAATTAACACAATTACAGATAATTATGAATAGAGACCCAACTACTGGCATGAAAGACTTATTTGATGTCAGAATGTTTCTGTTTTTTTTTTTGCCTAATGCGTTGGTGGCTGCTAGCTGCCTGGATCCTTCACATCGCCCATCCCTAATTATTTTATTGTACCGAATATATATTTAACTTACACTATTACTGTATTTCATGTCTAAACACCTTTAATGTAGCATATTTCCCTCATATTGTACAAACGTACATCCATTGTACTATATTTATATTTAATATTTTATCACTGTAATATAGTTTCTTGACCTTATTTTTATGTTCTGTATATCTGTATTCAGGTATTTCAAATCTCACACACTTTTGGTGGAACAGAGGTTAGAGAAGGACAAACTGCCTCAAGTGGTGCGAGAGTCTGACGCTGCACTCAGGTACCAATCGAAACCTACACAAAAATAAAAATAAAAATAGTCATAATAAAATGGTTTTGATGTTAATTTGCTAGGGAAGGCTTTGAGCAGTTCTTCGACCGCCTGCACCAGCACGACGTGCCCGTGTTCATCTTCTCTGCCGGACTGGGGGACGTCCTGGAGGAGATCATTCGCCAGGCGGGTGTCTACCACCCCAACGTCAAGGTGGTGTCCAACTTTATGGACTTTGACGACAACGTGAGTTCTTTAAAATGACACTTGCACTTACAAAATGCCTTTCATGCCTATACTGTATCGTTTCCGCAAGATACTTTGTATTATTTAGTGCATGTTTAGCACACTATTTGACAGACCATCTGAAAAACATTGTGAACCACACTATACTACAATATCGTGCTCAAAGATGAAAAAAAAAAATGACAGTATTTTTGACTATTTTGCATGCGGGATTAATTGCAGGGCGTCGTGCGAGGCTTCAAAGGGGAGCTGATCCACGTGTACAACAAGCACGACGGCGCCCTTCGCAACACTGACTACTTCAAGCAGCTGAAGGAAAACTGTAACATCATCCTGATGGGAGACTCGCTGGGCGACCTCAGCATGGCTGACGGCGTACCCAACGTGGAAAACATTCTCAAGGTCGGCTTCCTCAACGACAAGGTACGTCACCAATGTCGGAACTGACCCTGATTATTTATAACGTGCAACCTTGTGTCCTGTTAGATTATGCCTCTTTGGCGCATATGTAGATAGATGACTTAAATTAGGCCATTGTGTCGCTGTGACCTTTTTCTTCCTATCTATCTGCACCCATCGAGTCACACATTGTCACATGGGCTAGGCCGGGCGACCCTCTTGTGTGTGAGCGCCAGAGAAAGTGTAAGAGTAGGAACCATTTTGGACAAATTAAGCCTTCTTGCACATCTGGCTCAGTCTTTCTGGCATCAGTTAAATAATTCAGCTGAGAATATACAGTCTTCCAGTCGTTACTGTTAGTTTATGTTGCGAGCATTAAAGATAAAAGGATTTTTCAGTTGGTGCCGTGACCCGGATTATCATTATACATTATCATTTTCAGGTGGAGGAGCGTCTGGACAAATACTTGGACTCTTACGACATCGTCCTGGTAAAGGATGAGACCCTGGAAGTGCCCAACTCTATCCTCCAGAAGGTCCTATAACTTGCTCCTCGTACCACTACCACTGGACCTCTTCTTTACCCCAACGCCTGCTTCCACACCTTTGTACGTGTCCGATTGGACATTTTTAAATGTACAGCACTCTTCAACTTCTTTTTGGTCTTGTGTCAAACTCGCACTCTATCTTGTGGACACCAGCGTCACATCGCAGGACAGTGAACCCCCACAAATTTGCAGTTGGGCATTCGTGAATTCACCTGTAAGGGGATTTTAAATTTTTTTTACTAATCACCGTTATGTTTTGAAACCCCCGCTATGTCTTTTATTCCAACCCAATAATCAATTAATCATCATGAATGGATTTTTAATATTCACAGTCGTGCTTGGCCCCGAACCCACTTGAATAACGGGGGCTTGCTGTCTGGCATCTATCTAGGGTGGATACGTCCCAAACCCACCCGCAAAAGGTAAACATCTGCAAAAACAGCTTTTTCAACACACTCGGAGCAGCAACACATCCAAAACTAGCATAGAGAACAGGAAAACACTTCAAAGTATTCCTGAGCGCCTGTTCTCACTCTCGTACTGTCAAGAAATGGGAGGCTTTTGTATAACATCACTTTGAAGAAAGGAAAAGAAGGCTCCGCTGCTCGCACAGTTCCATAAATAGGAGGCAAACCCTGCTTGCTTCAACAGTATAGTGACAACCTTTGCTTCACAATCTGTGATATAGTAGTGGGGGCGTGAGTGATGAACCCCGATATAGCGGGGGGACACTGTATACAACGTTATTTTTTCAGTATGGGTGTCTTTGTGTACCGTAGAACACGTACGTACATGTACTGGACCAGGAAGAAGCAAGCGGACATTTGAACATGATTATCATGGAAATGCCAGTGGAGGTCCCTGATTCATTTTGGGAGGATGTGATTTGAGGAAATGCACTTTAAAATAGGCGTGAATATCTTTAGTGGATGTGTGCACATGTTTTAGTCAGTGGACGTATGATGTATAAAACAAACAAAGAAAAAAAGCCATGTTTAACTTTCATTCAAGCCTTTTAAAGCCCGCTCTGCTTAGAAAAAGAATCACTTTATTCTCCATCTTCTCGTTTGCTTGAGAATGGTCAGAGCTCCGTGCTACGCTGAAACAGAAAATCACACCAAAGTGAGTGTTTTACATGGCGGAAATGTCACTGGTCCCCTCACCCCCATTTTTTCCTCAACATCTCTAATGTGTTTTACATGTGCTGCTATCACCTGCATGTTGCCTTTTCTCAACAAAGAAATGGAAGGAAACAAATCTATTTCGATATATATAATTGAAACAGGGAATAATGTCATTCTGTGTCTGTGGACCTTGTGTGGAAATGTTTCCAAAAGTAGAATCCTGTGTTTTATTTTTCTAAGCAGATTTTTTTTCTCTGTGATCATATGAATTGGAAAAGAAATACAGCATTGTATTATAATGACATGTTACTTGACTGTGTGAATAACAGCTGGTTTTTTGAAAGCATTTGCAATTCACTACAATGGCCTTTAGGCGGTAGCAAAACGCAAAAAAATTCGAATCAGCGTTTGACGTGGCAGGAGTACTCTTGAAAAAGAAAAAATATCTCGTTACATATGTGTGGCTCGTTGGTCTAGGGGTATGATTCTCGCTTAGGGTGCGAGAGGTCCCGGGTTCAAATCCCGGACGAGCCCATCTTTTGGTTTAGTTTTGCAAATTTTAAAGCATGTTCAGATAAATCACATTAATCTCAGTCTGTCTCACCGTTACAACTATCATTATTTACCCGGCAACATTGTATCTAGATCACTTAAGATAATTTATTCATTGTTACGTTTCTTTTTGAAGGTGCAAAAATCGTGATTTGCCTTCCAAAATCCCTGACTCGTTTCGTCAACTGTAATCTTAAAACAAAGACTCGATTTCCCATCATGCAGCTGTCTTTCGCGCTTGCGCACGACTGGCCGCTTTCCCCACTGAAGTGAGACAGTTTTTGTGAGTTAGTCAATTTATTGTGCAGGGAAGTCCTTACCTTTGCTAATATTTCATTCATTTGAATTTAGAATTGTGAAGAAATTGTTGCTAAATTAATGTAATGTGGTCCTAATTTATCTCGTAATGTATTTCACCCGACGATTGATACTAAAGAACTACAATTCCCATTTGGCATTTCCCTTTCGCACATGCGCACAAGTGCCACGTTCGCCCCAGTTTGAGCGTCAGTGCCATGACAACAAGACGATGACTTGAAGAGGGTAAATGTGATTTTTGATACCGTGGGGATTAATAAACCTGCGGGCTTGTCGGACGCATCAGTGAAGAAAAGGTAAAACACCGGTTCTACCCGCTGGACGCTGGGTTACTCGCGTGGCTAGCTAATTAGCTGGCCAAGCTAAACTGAATGGGTTAGCCGCGAGCTAATTCATTTGTGAACGCGCCTTGATGAGTGAGCGCGTGAGCCTCAAAACTTATTAACGTTACTTATTTTAGTGCCCAAACGCGAACAATTACACTTGAAATGTGTTAAAATCCTTATATCTGGTCAGGATACCTCAAAGATGAGACAGGAATCTGCTGACACCTCACATTTTGAGCGAAATATGATGGAAAAGGAATATTTGTAATTATAAATCATTGAATTGTGTTTCAAGCCCATGGAAAACCTGTTAACTAGCTTTTTTTGTCCGTTTAAGACATTGTAATTGAAACATTACAGAATTTTGGAGCATGTTAAGATATTTCTTCATTTAACATGATGAAATGTCATGAAGCACGATTTCAATGTGTATTAATTGTAAGATGAATGTCACGTTTAATTTGCAACTTTGCTGGATTAGTTGACCGGTTCCACCTGCTCAGTCGGCATTTAAGACGAGAGCAAAGCGGCTTGTGCTGATCACGTGACAAGTCACGCTACTCCCCCATTGGCTCCTGCTGTCCCTGTGGCAAGAAGCGTCCACTTTTTGAGTGACAGTTGTACCTATTTGACTGCCACGTGACGATTAATCAGCCGGCTCCTATTATCTGTTTCAAATCTGCTCATTTGCAGATTTCCACCGCCCCCCCCCCTCCACACACACACACATCAACATCTTGCAACATAAGACAAGATGACATACATACAAGCATTCCCCCTTTCAAAATATAGTCGGCAACAAATTGGCTGATTTATGTCAAATTTTCTTTCTGTTTTGAAGTTAAATAAATACGAAAGGAAAAAGTATTGTAAAAAAAAAAAGTCAAATCATCTGCCTGTAATTCACATCTTTACTTTTTTTTTTTTTTAAACTGTTGTCAGCATTAATGGGCCGAAAAATACATTTTAAATACATTTTATGTATTTTGCAAAAACTTACAGTAATGACATAATTTGTATGCAAACCATGGAACCATTTTAACCAAAGTATTAAATGTTTTAAATCAAGATGTTTCCGAAAGTGTTTTTTTTTTTTTTTTAACACATGATAAATAGGATTTTATTCTTGTCACTGGTCTTAAATCTCCACATAAATTGAGAATGCAATTTGCTGAAGTGACTCTCATGGTAACATCACGCAATCGTGATCGCGAAAGCAACAAACAGTGATATGGTTTTCGTTGTGACTCTGAAGAGGAGATCCGTGTCATTTTTGGACTCAATCAAATTTTACGTGGGACATTGGGAACATTGGGAAATGGCATTTTAACCCCCCCCCCCCCCCCCCATTTCCTCTCTTTTTCAAACCTACTTGTGATAAAAATGTGACTTATCTCATCCCAAGCAGATGTCTCTGTTCAAGGCACGGGACTGGTGGTCGGCAGCCCTCGGCGAAGGCGAGGAGTTTGACCAGGGGTGCATGTGCGTTGGAAATGTGGACAACAGCGCCATGGGACATGGTAACGTAATAGAACTAATGTACGTTTCAGGTCTTAGTCACGTCCATCATATCAAGAGTTTCTCTCTTGGTCTTCTTGTGCAGACAAAGTGGTGGTGGGAAGCTACATGGGCATGCTGCGCATCTTCTCCCCTCACGCTGCCAAAGCCAACGAAGCGGGCCAAGGCGCGGCCGAGGCACAGCTCCTGGAAGTCCACCTCCAGAACGCCATCATCCAGGTGGAGCTGGGGAAGTTTGTCTCGTGAGTAGATTTGGTACTTATACAGAAGCAAAAGAAAGTGTTTATGTTCTTTTTATTTTTATATTGTCTACTGTCTGGATAAATTAAGTGCTTAAGAAGTGCACTCTGCAGGTTTGCATATCATTGTTTCCTGGAACATGAAAAGCTGAAGTGATAAAGCCACAGATTTTTTTGTTTGCGTTATTGTTGTCGTCAGATTTATGATTGAGTGACTTGTCTTTATGCCACACTTGTTTGAAAGAATCTTGACGTTTTCATCGTTAACGCTTCAAAGGCTGCAAGTCAAAGCGTTTCGTGCGTCGTAAACTCTAATTGAAGTATATAATTGAGACGTCTTTTGTAAAAATCTACACGGGAGCAACATTTAGCCAGTTAATCCCACTCCAATTAGCTTTAGCTTGCTTTCCCTCTCACGAGCACACAAAGAAGGATTACACTTGGCGACTTGAGCAGGAGAAGCGTGACCCAAACTAAATCCACCACTACAAAAATACATTTGGTAGAAAGACTCCGATGATTTCTTGTAAAATGTGTTAACACACATTTTAGAAGTTGTTGAAGAAATATTTGGTGAATTATTTATAATTATATTATGCTATTCAAGAATTGTTTGATTAACTTTCATTGAATAATTACGAATTTACCTCATTGATGAATGAACTGCCCTGTGGTGCCTGTTTTATTTCTTTTTCATTTCTTTCATTAAATGATTTAATTGATCTGTTGTACAAAATCCAATAAAATAACGAGTAAATGGATTTTGCATACACTGTACATTTAACGTATTTTCATGTTTGTGTTCATTTATTCTACTTTAATTATGAAGAATGCAAATAAAATTTGAATTCTAAATGTGGTTTTCAAATCAACTGTTTGATATATATAATTTTTTTTTTTCATCATCTACGGTAGCCCTGCCCCCTTCGTTCATTTTAAAAGTCCATTTTAAAAATCAAACGTGTCCTCTCAGAACCAAAGTTTGCCCACTCTTGCTTTACATCCTTCAGGCAGGTGGCGCTATTTGTCTCACTTTAGTCTCCTTTTGTCAGTTGGCAGAAATGAAATGTGAGCTTTCTCTTGGAAAATCTTTAAAAAAATCCTTCCTTCCTTCCTTCAGTGTCGCGTCGGTGTTTGCTTTAAGCTGCGGTTCGCCAACACGGAATTCCTCCCGGGAATCCGGCGGGCAGTCGGGAGGCGAGGCTGGAGAGTATAAATACTGGCGGGATGACTGAGGCGGTGGCCCGCCCACCAGAGTTTTTTTTTTTTGCTTTCCCAGGATGAAAGAACACTTGTGGGATCGGCTTCCCCTTCCGTTGTGGTCACCCCTTTCTTAAGACCGCATTTTGTTCTAGCAGGACAAAATCAACAAATATCTTGTCAGTGGAGAGGGAGCGTCATGGCTGCATCTGCTGCAGTTCATTGGTTCAAGGTTCAGCCTGTAGAACCGATGCTATTCTTATTTGCGGAGGACGAGGATTGAACTGTGCCACTTTGTCTCAGTGAAGCTCCTCCACCCATTTCATCATAGTTCGACACTTCAAAGTGGCCACCAAGCAATGCGTTAATCTAAATGGAGCTCTTCAACTCATTTCAAGATAGTTCCTTGGCAGCGAGATGCCACATGATAGTGGCAAAAAATATGAAACCCTGAAACACACCTCAACCTAGTTCCTGAACACCAAAATGCTTCAAAATAATGGTGGAGCAGTATTTTTTGGGGTCTAAATTAAGCTCCTCAACTCACTTTAACATAGTTCTTTGATATGCTCATGCTACAAGATGGCGCAATCCCTCAAATGCTAAACTTGAGGGAACATGCACTTGACGGGAGACAAGGCCTTCAAGCATCTTCCCACTCTTCGTTAGAATCACTTGTGCTTTTGTTGTGACGTAGAGCGGCAAAGCGTTACTTTTGTCTCAGTGAAGCTACTCGACTCACTTCAACATAGTTACTTGCGACCAGGATAGTACAAGTTGGTGGCAAAGCAATATGTTTATCTAAATGGAGCTCCTCAACTCACTTGGGCATAGTCCTTTGGCACCAAGATGCGACAAGAGGGTGACAAAGCAGTACGCTGCCTGAATGAAAATCCTCAACTCTCTTCATCATAGTTTCTCAGCACTGAGGTGTCACAAGATGGCAGCAAAATTCAAAATGGAGCACCTCAAGTGGCTGCATGTTGGTCACTTGGTTAAGCGGATTAGAAAATTGATGGTCCTTGGCACCAGGATGCCACAAGATAATGTTTTTGTGTCAATTAAGCTAAGTTGAAAAACAGCAGTGTTCTCGCGCTGATAACGTTGTGTTTCCAGGTGTTCAGATCTTCTCCACCTGGCTGTTCTTCACCCCAGGAAGCTGTCCGTCTACTCCGTTCTGGGTACCTTCCTCCTCCTCCTCCGTGTTACTTCCTATGTAAGTGCCATTTTGTCAATGTGAGTATATGTGTGTGTGTGTGTGTGTGTGTGTGTGTCTGTGTTCAGGCACAGCGGGCAACGTGGAACATGGCGACCAGTACCAGATCAAACTGGTCTACGAGCACAACCTGCAGAGGACCGCCTGTAACATGACATACGGAACATTTGGAGGGGTCACGGGTAATGCACGCATGCACTTAAATGATACTGTTTCATGCTCTGGGCTTTGGGAAAAACCAAGTCCGGGGACAGCCCTGCCACAATCCAAGACAAACACACACTCTCTTGCACACAAATGCTGCTGTGTCATGCTCTGGGCTTTTTTGGAAAAAACAAGTCGGGGACAGCCCTCCACTTGTCAATCCAAGAAAAACACACACTCACACACGGGAATCCCCTTTCAAGTGCAGAAAATGACTATTCCAAATAGAGGCTGCTTTGTTGAGAGAGGCACGTGCGTAGTTCGGTGAATGTGTGTGTGCGTGCGTGCACCTTTGAATATGCCAGACTGTGGCTTGGCACGATGGTCTCCTTTTTACCTGAGATCCTTTCGCACCGCAAGAACTTTATGCCCGAACTTCAAGAACTTAGGAGCAACTTGGTCTGTGTTTGTACTGAACTCAACTTAGGTCCCGGGAATTATTTCAAGGTTATTGAAAACCCTGCTAGGCCGGATTGTAAGTGAATTTTGAAATATGTGCATATGCGTGTGTATGCAAGTTGGCATGTTACGTGCCTTAGTTATTTCGATAATTTGTGTGAGTGAGTCTATGCACATGCATCCATGTATGCGGGTGTGTGCATGATGTGATGGGTGCCTGCTTTTGGTGGTGAAAAACACACACACACACACACACACACACACACACACACACGCGCGCGCGCGCGCTTCATGATGTTTTGCATGCATGTATAATTTTCCACCACAAGAGGGCAGTGCCCGCCACTGCTTTGTTATATTTCTGATGTCTTTTTCTCAGCCCGTTGTTAAGAGTTGTCCAACTTCTTACACCAGCTGCCACCCTAAAAAAAAAAATTAAAAAAAAAACTTCCAAATTATTATTGTAAGCCCCTGCCGCTTAAAGGAAAACTGTAACTGAAATGTATGATTCGATTCAAGTATATTGCCCTCAAAAGTGAAACACAAATTCTATCTAAATAAATATTTAAAACCAAACAATCTTCTTAAAGATGATATATGTATGTCACTGGGTTCGAATGAATGAGATGCTGTTTAGTTTGGGAAATCCCTGTTGTGAGAACCCCCCCTCCCCCCAGCCATCACCTGGGAGGTCAGAGTTCATCTACAAGGAGCCATTATTGCTCTTTTTTTTTTTTTTCTTTTTTGGGGGGGCGCACACACAGAAATGTTGTGCCTGCGCTTTAACTTGACCTTAAAGCAAAACCACATCAGTCCCGCGTCGTCCTGGCTATTTTAAAACTGAGGTTATTATCTTTTATTGATGTGTAATAAGTCAACTTGTAGTGGACGTGAGGGATTGAATAACACAGCCTCAAGCTAATAAACCAAAATAGAATGTACTGTAGTAGCACGCGTCTATACTTGAACATTGTGCTGTGCACTCGCCACACAAGACTCTCTGTATAGCACGCAGCCGTTAACGTCGGTTTTTATTTCCATTATTCATGCGACCTTTTGAGCTTGGTGGTTCGCAAGTCTGCCCCCCAAGTCCGAGGTTTTGCGTTTGAATGTGTCTGTGGAACATGCTCTCTCTCTCTCTCTCTCTCTCTCTCTCTCTCTCTCTCTCTCTCTCTCTCTCTCTCTCGCACACACACGTCTTTACACAGAGGTGTGTCGGAGCATGTGGCTTTTCTTTCCAAATCTCTGCTGATTGATGGTTTGTGTGTGTGTGCGAGCGTGAGCGCGTGTGCACCATAGGTGGCTGTATCCCTGACCTCGACTTGACGGCAGTGAGAGTTTTAATAGCGCATTGAGGCCTAATTATAGACCTCCGGTCACCTCGCTGCTTTATGGCGGTGTGTGTTGAATGTGCGCACGTGCTAAGGTGTTAATGGAGATATCAGACTTGAGTTGGAGCGAGAAACACGCCTCGCTCCGCATAGCGCCGCCACCGCTGAAAATGAAACAGGAGCTACATGTTTATTGCGTGCGTGTGTGTGTGTGTGTGTGTGTGTGTGTGTGTGTGTGTGTGAGAGGCGTGTGTGTGTGTGTGTGTGTGTGTGTGTGTGTGTGTGTGTGTGTGTGTGTGTGTGTGTGAGAGAGAGAAAGGAGCTGCGTAAATTGTTATCGGGTAAATAGCGGAGTCTGAACTAAGGCTACGCTAATTATACAAATGATGGCATCCCAGATAAGCTACGTATTGTTGACATCCGGTGTGTGCACAGAGTTTTCATTTCCCTCGGACACTTTGAAGTCCCAACTGGGACAGTCTGAGTGGGGGGGAAATCCTTCCCTCCTTCCTCGATTGCACAATAGATACGAGCAAACTGACCAGACAAGTAACACCTGAACAAGACGCAAAGTGTTGAAGGGAGCTGATTGGTTACGACAAGGGACGAGGATGACGAGAACGTAACGAGGGAGCTTAAAAAGGCACACAAAGGAAATAAGACATAACATGAAACAAAACGATCGAATAATGATCGATTCGAAACAGCAAAAACAGAAGCATGGCAGACCCGTTTCCAAGTTAAAAAAAAAAAGAATACTTTTAAACATACAATATAGAAATAAATGATCAAATTTACTGTGCCGACCTTATTCTTTTCTTATTGCCTTCATTAAGTACAATAAAATTGAAATAAAATAAATATATTGATCGAGTAATCCTGTGATGGGTCAAATTGACCCAATAAAAAAAATCGAACTGGCCGATGCTAAATTGCGAATCTTTTTGGGCGACACCCTCGAACCCGAATGTGTCAAACTCAAGGCCCTGGGGCCATATCCGGCCCACCACGTTGTTTACGTGGCCCGCGAAAGCAAATCATGAATGTCAACTTCAATGAATCTTGCTAAAATCAACAAATTTAACAAACTATTACTCCATCAATTTGTTGTGAACAAGTAATTATACAAGTTGATGATAGATACGATATGAAACATTTATTCGGTTTCACTGTCATGACGGCCCTCTGAGGGAAGACGTGAATCCAAAGTGGCCCTTGACAAAAATGAGTGACACCCCTGTTCTGACGTGTAAAAACAATGTCATCAAAATGACCCTTTCCCCTCTCTCCTCTTGCTGTCAGGTCACCACTCGCTTTGCATCCAATCCATGGACGGCATGCTGATGTTCTTCGAGCAGGACAGCTACTCCTTCGGAAGGTTCCTGCCGGGTTTCCTGCTTCCCGGCCCGTTGGCCTACAACTCGCGGACGGATAGTTTCCTCACCGTGTCCTCGGCCCGCCAGCTGGAGAGCTACAAGTAGGTTTTGCTGACACCCGCTCCCATTTGGAGCGTCTGTTCTGCGACGCGGAAAAGAAAAATGTGACAAACCGCAAAAATGTGCCGGGGAACTCTTTGTGTTGCCGTTTTGGAAGTGTGCATGGGGAACAAGGTTAGCGTTGTCATACGTGCAGTCAGTCTTTTGGGCAGAGTAGACTGTGTGTGTCTATGTTGGCCGGAGCTATCTGGCCTCATGTAAAGTTTAAGCAAACATTTTTGTGTAGTTGTACTCTCGATGAAAGACGATCACGACACACACACACACACACACACACACACACACACACACACACACACACACACAGGCGCAAATGCTTCCCAACTCTGGTGCCAACAGTCACGCATACACAACAAGGTCTGGAGTGCTTGAAAAGGCTCAACAAGTTGTGCGCAGGTGTAAAATTGAAGGCCAAATCAGGCCGCTACATGATATTTTATGTAGTTTGCAAAGCCGCAATTGACACTCACGTTGACAAACACTCTAAGTGGCATTGAATATTTGGTGGCGTGACCCTTACTTGCAAGAACTCCGACCAGCCTGCGACCCATCGACTGGTGCATCAGACCGTTGCATTTTTCATCCAAAATGCTTTGCCAGGTAGGCGTTGACTGCAGTCTCTTTGGGGTTGTTGTTTGTTTCTGGGGATCAAATGCATGCTCTATTGTGGATGTTGGGTCTTTTCAAGTTCACCCCCCCCCCCCCCTATGAAGTCCTTTGTTCTGTTGGCTGCGTGTTCTTCTTGATGAAGCTTCTCCCGATTAATTTGGATGCATTTGTCTGTAAATTGCTGCACAGAAATGGTGTTCTAGACTTAAGAAGAGACACGATCTTGCATGACTCCTCCAGACCATTTTGTGCATCTTTCACTTTGGAATAAATGACCCAATAGTGATCACCTTCACATCGATCTCGCTGATGTTTTTTTTTTATTTTTTATTTTCAACAATTCCAAGCTGGTGAATGTCTTCAATCTTGCCCCGAACATCTTCTGCCGGCTCTCCATTCTTGCCCATTGTGGTGTAGAGATTGGAAGGGAAGAAATTATTCCTCAAACAGGTGTTTGTGCTTTTATTCACATGACCAGTCAAGATCAGAAGTACTGGTATTGGGTTGATTGTGCACAGCTGTGTTCCACATGGAACCATCCAAACTGTGGAATCCAAATTTCTGAAGCACTTATTGTTTCTTAAAAGCATTTTCGTACTGGCATCTTTTTGATACCAAGAAACAACCACAAACCTTTCAGATTGTTAATTTCTTTGTAAGTGAGCAACATTACAAATTCCGCAGAGGAGCAAATCAGAATTTCTGTTGCATTGAGCCCAAATAAGAACAAGCGCTACAAATGGATGGTTGTTGAATTTTATAAATCATCCAAGTAGCACGTAACAAGTCCATTACACTGAATACGAGATACTTTTATCTCGCACCTGTACAGTATCTATCTGAAGCAAAACAATTCCAGTCAATCGTTTCCAGGAAGCACGCTCGCTCCACATCTGTGAGTGCTCCTCCGGCCCCCCGCTCTTATCCACTTGGGCTTTCCGCATAACGTTCAACAGCCCTAACGTTGGCGCTAATAGAGTGGGACACCCTGGGACCACATAAAATGTGCGGACCGGGTGTCGGTCAGACCTGGGGGAGACCATTCACAGCTGTTGAATAATAAAAATACTTTCAGGTGGTGAAACAAAGAAAAGATACAGCGAATTATCCCATAGGATATAATTTAAATCAAATTGATATGTTCCGGGATCCAACTGTCGCTGTCTCCCACCCCAAAAAAGTTCTCATTCTAAACACGTTCAAATTTAGAAAGAAAGGTTAGTAGTCAAAATGACGTGATCGACAAAATCCTACCCAACTATCCATCAGTCTGTCACACCGTTTATCTGCCTACCCGTCTGTCACTCTATCTGCCCATTTATAACTATTATTCTGTCTCTCTGTCTACCCACCCGTGTATTCGTCTTGCTCTGTCTACCTGCCCGTCCGTGCATTTGTCTTGCTCTAGCTGTCTGTGTATTTCTTTTGCTCTATTTGCTCGTGTATTTGTCTTGCTCTGTCTACACGCCCGTATATTTCTGTTGCTCTGTCTACCTGCCCATGTATTTTTCTTGCTCTAGCTACCCGTCCATTTATTTGTCTTGCCCTGTGTACCCGCCCATATATTTGTCTTGCCCTGTCTACCCGCCCGTGTATTTGTCTTGCCCTGTGTACCCGCCCGTGTATTTGTCTTGCTCTGTCTACCGGCCCGTGTATTTGTCTGTCTTGCTCTTTGTACCTGCCCATGTAATTGTCTTGCTCTATCTACCCCCGTTTATTTGCCTTCCTTGATCTGTAATAGTATCATCCATCCATCATCCACCCATCCAGTTCTATTTATATACCGTTTGTCTAGTTCTATCGATTGATAAGCCATCCATCTTTCATCTTCCACCTACCGTCTATCTCTCTTGTGCTATCTACCCATTTAACCGTCAAACCCTCTCCCTAAGTGTCTATTGGTCTCGTTCTGCCCATCTGTTTCTATTGGGTTGCGATATTAATCATAAGGCATGATGTTTGAGGCTCCTCACTGCAAATAGCCTCTCCATTTGGGTCGTGCTGGGTCATACAGTGTTGATACAGTTGTTTAAGGAGGACACATTCTTGCCAGGGCGCCATGACTGCCAGCTTCTCCCTGGAATGTTCCACGTATCCAAGATGCCAGCATCAATGTGGTACAGGTAACATTCACAACGTTTTAAGATCTGCCCTTCTCTGCTCCTCAGGTATGAGACTCTGGCTGTGGCCACGGAGGCTGAAAGCCGCCAGGACCCCGACCAACCCCTCAAGACGGGTGGCAAGAGACTGACCGTGAGTCCTCACATGCAGTGAACCCCTCGTCAACTCCGCTGTGATGTCACTTGTTCCTGTGTCGACCATTAGCGCTCGTTAATGCTAACAAGCCCAATTTGCACGAATAAACTCATTGACATGACTCGTTCTACACTTCTGGCATCATTTTAGTTGTACTTGGCATGGAGGCTCTTTATTTGCACTCGGCTGCCCTCCCGTTTAGCATCCATGGAAAGCCTTATGTTGCGTGCAGGTAACCATGACAACAGACAATGATTTAAAGCACCACATAAGGTGTATGGAGGAGTTCACATGTAAACATGTCGCTCAAGGGTTCACAAAGAGTTGAATGGGAGTTCTTTGCGGTGAATGAGTGGGTAAATGGATGAATAGACTGAGTGGATGGGAATGATTTCGCAAAGACAAGCAAGGCAAGTCCATTATTCAAATATTTCAAAGCGAAGTCAAGAAATAGAAAGTGGCTAACTAAATTTCCTAAAAGAACATACAGTACAAGAATAGGATTTTGGCAAAAAGTGAATTTTTAAAATGCTTCGAGTTGACCGGGAGTTATTTTGTGTTTTCTCCGCAGCCCGACTGGATATTGGTTCTGGGCGAGCAGGCCCTGGACATCTCTGTCCCCTCCTTCTCCCACTCTTCGTCCTCCATCTTCGTCCTTGGCGATCGTAACCTCTACTGCCTGCGTGACAACGGACAGATCTACTTCATGAAGAAGTTGGAGTTCAACCCCAGCTGCTTCCTGCCGTACACCTCGCGTGAGTCACTCAGGGACACATGGGACCTCTTTTGTGGCTAGAGAGACTGAGGGGATGAGTTGGTGAGCAGATGGACGGGGGGGATGAATGAACTGATGATGAGTTTATAATTGCGTGGGTGAGTGATGGAGTCATAGTTGAATAAATGTGTGAATGAGTGAATGGATGGATTGATGTACTGGACTAACGGGTAAGTGTCAGAATGGACTAATGAACGGGTGAATGTACTGAAGATTGCGGGGGGTGGACGGATAGATGAATGGGCTGCTGGATGAGTGAGTGACTGGATTGATGGGTTTGTGGATAAATGAATGATGAGTGGATGAATGGACAGATAAATGGATGAGAAGGTCAATTTCTGGTGGAGAGGTGGATGGCAGACTCGATGGAAGAATCAGCGGGCGAGGTGATGCTCGAGTGGATGAATGGACTGGTGGATATTTGGTTGAATGGACGGATAGATGAGTCACCGAATGAGCGGGTGGCTGGACTGATGTGAGTGGGTGAATAAGGATTGTCTGATTCGTGATTAAAGAGAGGCAGCAGGAAGTTGAGATCAGCGCAAAGGAACGTGGGAAATACCGTTTTTAATTATGTATTTGCTTGACTTAGTGAAATGCACGTGCTAATTATAAAACCTCTGCTCAGATAAAAGCAGGTGTGTGTGTTTGCTTTAGCGAGCCACCAACACACGTACACACGCAACCACACGCGCTCTGTCATTTTGACCCCCCTCCTTGCCGACCGCCACGGCCGCCGTATTTGACCCACTGGGGTGTTTGTTTTGCGTGTGGCCATCACCTCAGATTTCTGCTGGTGGTAGCTGCACTGCTCTTAGGATGGGCACACGTGTGTGTGTGTGTGTGTGTGTGTGTGTGTGTGTGTGTGTGTGTGTGTGTGTGTGTGTGTGTGTGCGTGTTTAATGCAAGTCTAGTATTTATAGCTCATGTTTCAAGGGAAAGTATAAGTGTGTTCATATGTATTTCTGCCTGTTTAAAGCGCAGCTACTTGTTGAAATGTGATGATGTCATCACTTGAGTTATTTCTCCGCTTTGTGGCTGCAAAGTTTATCACGTGTCTTTTCACCTCTTTTCCAGCCCTAAAAATAAAGCTCTTTCTGATATTGTACTAGCTGGGTGGCGGAAGCAAAGCCTGCACAAACAGAGAACATCAATACATACGCACACGTTTATTCTCATTTTGGGTTCCCCAAACCTTGTACCAATAACCTCCTTTCTGTGGTCGCGTCGCACCAAATTAATTCCATTTTAATGAAAAGACCAAGCTTCATCCAGTCAGTAATCCAACAAGAAATAACCACCAAGTGACCTTTATGTGTAATATCTGACATTCTGCTCTTCCCCTTGAAAAAAGAAAAAAATACAAATAAAAAAACACTTTTACGATGGTCACAACTTGCCCGAATACATATTTTCTTCCTGTTTTCCCCCTTAGTGACCGATGGCACCACCAACCTGTTGCTAGGCAACCACACCAACATGCTGCTGGTGTACCAGGACGTCACGCTAAAGTGGGCTGCCCAGCTCGCTTTCGTGCCCGTGGCGCTTCGCGTCGCCAACTTCCCGTGAGTGTGACGCCTGTCTGTGGTGACGTACACACACATACACACTCATACATACACATGCTAGAATCATTGTCTTTTATTAGTTTCCCGACTAGTAAATCGCCTTTTTGGGGGCCTCAACCTGCCAGAAAACTCACTAAATTTCTCAACTGCGGTGCATGTATACTGGAGAATATGTATTTATTTTCGAGGTCTCAAACATGAGCCCTATAAACTCGAACAGTAGCGCTCTCTGAAAAACGGCAAAAAAAAACCCTAAACAAACATGACAACCTGACAACCAGAATTGGGTGGACATGTCTCAAGGATCCATTCACAAAATTCATCAGCAAGATTCCCATTTGGGTTTTAGGCAGCCATTTTGAGTAAACGCGGGCTTGTACTTCGGATTTGGAGGCCAAATTCTAATGACCAAACTGTGTGACATTCTCAGATGACATCGTTTAAAATCACATCCTTGATACATGGTTTGGACAAGGCACATCCAAATGCAACACAGTTCCATCACCTCGATGAACTGACCTTCTCAATCGTCCCAACATGTGGTCTCAGTCGCGGTCTGTGGTGTCTTCTCTCACGTTCTACACCAACAGGGGTGGGTGGGAACACCCCACTGTTGGCAAAGTGTGTTTGTGTGTGCTTTTGTGCGAGTCTTTGTTTTTAGAGTCTATTTCCGTCATAGTCAGTCGCGTGCGTGAGTGTGTTTCCGCGGCAGTTTAAGTGGACGTTTTAATGCAGACGATTTCCACCCAGGCAGGTGTGGAGCCTCGACCTGAAATCCGCTACTCTACTGCTTCGTGCGTGTGCCAGTGCGTGTGTGTGTGTTACCGCCTCGCTGGCCTGGAAGTACAACACATCTGCAAACAGTTAACACGCACTCACTCACGCTGTTAAAACACATTATTGCATCACTCAGCATTTCCTACTTCTCTCTTTTCCCATTTTTGTTCAGTCAGAAAATCTTGACGTAAATTTGATGTATTATCCATTAAAAAAAAAAATGAGGAAGTGGGACACACAGAAATAGAAAAATTCAGAATAATAGCATTCCGGAATTATACTCCAAATCAAAATACAAAAATAATGTACCGAATGAGTTATTCATTGACTTAAAGTCAAGTAAGATGAGTAATTGGCTGGTGATCATTTACTGCATAAACTGGGAAATGCTTTCCTGTGAATTTACTGGACGCATATTTAGTTGTATGAGCATGTTTCTGAGGACTGCTTCACATTTGTGTAGCACGGAGTCAAGTGTCAAATGCTATTCCAGCCTCGGACCTATATGAATGTGTCTAATTCTCAATCATTTTCACTTGACATCAAGTGACAAAATGGCCGCCCCCTGAGATAGACAAAAATGGGTGGATTTTGCTGCTTAACTCATATTCCACATTCGCAATATTAATCAGAATACCGTTTTGAGACAAGTGGAGGCACATCGAACATATTATTTGAAAGAACATTTTTGGGTTGACTTCCCCTTTAATGATTTTTGGAAGGATTGCTTCAAATCTGAATTGGATGGTGGCCACTAACTTCTGGAAACTATCAAGCGCACCAAGATCCCCAGACTGTCTATGGTCAAATGGTCAATGAAAGCCTTAAAATCCTCAATTTGTATTTAGCTGTCGAAGGAGTTTCTGACAACTGCTTGACATGTGGAATGGAGTCAAGGGTTGACCTGCCATTTTATCTCAGGACCACAAGGCTACATCCCATAGGTCTCTGCATTCTTTACATTCTTTTGCTGTTGCATGGTCATGAACGCGGCCGCACTACGCTGATGTAAAACGCTCATTTTCAATTGGTTTCGACTGCACTCCTTGCATTTTGCACATTTTATTGTGTGATTTCAGGGATCTGAAGGGCGCCGTGGTGAGCCTGAGCTGGGACGGCCACCTGCTGTGCTCCTACATGGGCACCGACCCGTCCTTCTTCTCCACGCCCAAGGTGGACGCCCGTGAGGTGGACTACGAGCAGGCTGACGCCGAGCTGAAGAGGCTGCACAAGTTCATCAGAGAGGCCAGCAGGACTCAAGGCAGGAGATTTGTGTGTGTGTGTGTGTGTGTGTGTGTGTGTGTGTGTGTGTGTGTGCGTGTGTGTGTGTGTGTGTGTGTGTGTGTGTGTGTGTGTGTGTGTGTGTGTGTGCGTGCGCGTGCACGTGTGTGGGTGTGGGTAATCACTTCGTTGACTTTTTTTCTCCATGTCCTATATTGAATGTTTTTCGTTTGTGTATTCAATGAAGTGTCGAATGGACTTAATTAGCATAAAGAGAACGTAAAAATTGTGTTTCAGACATTCTGCCTAAAGGTGAAAGTGAGGAGGATTTGACGGTAACGGCATGCGTGTCTCCTGACATGGACATCCCGTCGGTGCGCGCACACGCACACACACACACACACACACACACACACACACACACACACACACACACACACACACACACACACACACACACAGATATACTTGCACGTTCACACTCATCACCTTTTTGTATTTTTTTAATACTGTATCTTTCAATGGGATAGCTGAAGAAACTTGTGCCATCACATTTTTTTTTTTTTTTTTTTTAAATGATTCCCCGCACTCGTCCTGTCCAACACACATGCAGTTTCTCGGAAATGTGAGGGTTTTCAAAGATTAACATGTACTTACCAAACCAATGATACATGAAGCAATCCAAATATCAAAAGTGTCAACATATGAACTGTCATGGCCGCCAGTCATACTTGATTGATTGAATTTTGACCCAACAAAAACATTCATATACCCCAATAAATGTTTAATTCAAACCAACAATTTGGTTACTTTCATAAGAAATAATACAGAATTTTGACCTAACACAAACAATCCAAAAATTGAGTTAATGAACCAACCCAACTGTTTTTAGAGTGTACAATCATATGTTTTGTCTGGTTGCACAGCAAGCTCTGATCCAAGACATGGACGGCTTCCCTGTCCCTTCTGTGACCGTGAAGGTGAGTTCAGAATCACCCTTGATGAGGTTTTATTGCATTTCTTTATCCTCATGCACATCCTCCTCCTTAATGTGTGCAGGTGACAGTGAAGGCCAGCAGCGCGTTGGCCTCGTCCAAGCTGACCGTTGGCGTTCAGCCTCCGCTTGCCGTCACCCAGGACCAGTTTGTCTTCGAACCTTTAGGTCAGTCTGTGTGTGTGTGTGTGTGTGTGTGTGTGTGTGTGTGTGTGTGTGTGTGTGTGTGTGTGTGTGCGCGCGCACGGAAAACATGTTGGACAACATCTTTTGGCAGTGTCTGAGCTGTAACAGGCGTGACAAATTGACTGCAGATTGTTCTTATCCTTTGGGTGCGCAAACGTCTACTCTTGTGTATGCGTACATGTGAAAGTACTTCACTTTCACTTTGGACAGTATAGGGATGAAAAAAAAAATCAATTGGCTTCAAGCAGCTGCAATAATGGGAATGCTTCCATCATTCCCTTCCACGGAGTTTCCTCATTTCAGTATTTTCAAAAAGTGCAGCCTATATCGATAGATGAAAAGATTCATCCCGTGAGGGAAATTAAATTGTCACAGCAGCAATATTTAAACAACCAATGCTGGGGTCAAACTGAAAACCATGTGAAACTAATTTGGTTCCCCCAACCCACAAAGTAAAAACAAATACAGAGCAGCATTGAGGAGGAATTTAAAGACATTTAAATCTCAACCAAGCAAGAAAAAAAATCCTCTCCTTCATCACACTCTCCCTCCACATATTATATCCAAACGGGATCATTTAAAAGTCTTAAATTGGATGTTAATTTTCTTTCAGAGGATGCTTGATCCTTAAATCTGCAACACACTTTGCATTTATTCTGTATTCCCTATAAAATGTGGCATACATAAAGCAGTGACATGTTACCTCACTTGTCTAAACAGGGGTATTCTGATTAATATTGTTTTTGTGAAGCAAAAATTAAGATTAATCCACCCATTTTTCAGCCATGCAAGAAGGCAAATATTTTATGCAGCATTGCTGTCGACTGAAATTGAGGTCAAAGTGCCTATGGGCTTGTTTCATAAGTCAGAACACCCGTATCTCAATGCACCACTGTATTCCAAACTAATTTTAGGTCCAAAATATGTTTTCAAATTTTTCGTTGAAAACATATAATGGAAGACTGAGTCCCGGGCTGCGTCTGAATTGAAATAGTGAACTCGAAATGACCCACAATGCCCTTGGAAAAGTACTGAGCATCAATGACGACTCAACCGATGAATAGGCGAATAAAAAAATGGCGCAAGCGCGAACATCAAAGCAATATAGTAGCCACGGAAATAATTGATTCATTTTGTTGAATTAAAAGTATGTACAATAAAGGAACTCAAACACAGCTTAAAATAATTTTTTTCTCCACAATAAATAGTGGAAGATCTTAATGTGCCGGTGCTTCATGACGGGTACATTGGCCATGTGATATTCAAGTTCAAGTCAACTTTATTGTCAAATGTGCTACATGTGCAACATACAACACAGATGAAATTTCATTCCTCTCAACCACAGGAGAGAGAGGAGTCGCTGCGGGTGCCCGCGCCGCCATCAAAAGAACAGTTAACATAAAATGACAAAATAACACAACACAAGACAGACGAAAAATATGCGACAAGTAACATGTCGTTAGTTGGCTGTCCGACTCGCCAAACACAACAAGGCCACCACTATATAGTGCTACACATTGCGCGGGACTATGTAGTTAGATGTGTGATGAGGGCTTTGGGGGGTTAAGGCATATCACTTAGTTAGTCTTAAACATCAAAGTTGTCTTGAATGGGTCTTAAAAGGCTTACATTTGACTCCTTTAAAAGTGTATAATGCCTCTTCTCAATTTCTGTTCGGAATTATTTTGAATTCCTCTCGCCACAGTTGCTATTTGTCACCATTCCTTTCTTCTTATATCTGTCCATGATCCCTATCCAGCATAACTTCATACATGGTGCAGATGTTCACATTTACGGTAAAAAATGTCCATTTATGTCGCGCACGTTGTCTGCAGGCAGCATCACATGCTCTTGATGCATTTTTTTTGTTTATCATTTCAAGATGTATCCACCGCACTCTTAGTTTCTGAGTTGTCAATCATTGATGGATGACTTGTCCGTGCAGCAATGTGAGCTGGACGCTATGCGCAGCTGCAAACTCTACATTGTGTGCCGGCCCCTTTAAATGCTGTCACTTTCTCCCATATGTTTTCATTACGCCTCTATAACAATGGAAAGTCGTTGGAACATTTATTTGACAGCTTTGATATTTTTCTTACAGTTTATGTAATAGAAGGCTCACTAGGAAGACAATTCGGCGCACTAGAAGAACAACTAGGATACACAAGATTTTTCGCCACCACAAGTGCCACTTGTGGCCATTCCAGCCTCCCGCCCCAAAACAGCTATTTTTTTGTAATGTTTAAGTAATAAGAAAATAGCACTCTGTCATATTATATATTATATAGAAAAACATGGCGGTCCAGTGGTTAGTGTCGACCTCACAGTGCAGAGGTCGTGGATTCGATCCCAGCTTCGGCCTTCCGATGTGGAGTTTGCATGTTCTCCCCATGCCTGCGTTGGTTTTCTCCGGGTACTCCGATTTCTTCCCACATCCCAAAAACATGCATGGCAGGCTAATGGAACACTCGAAATTGTCCCTCAGTGTGATTGTGAGCACCGAACGGTTGTTCATCTATGTGTGTTCATGTATAGTTGTCTTTCTACGCAGAGGACAAAGAATATATGCCTGTGAGTATTCTTATATTACTACTTGTGTTGCTCCACCATATGTCCTCAATTATTCAGATTTATTCCTCATTTTCATCTGGACTCGATGTCTATCTCCATCTGTTGCATTCGTAGAACGACTGTCTTATTGGTACCGTTTTTGTTTTTTTCCAATACGAGTGCTATTTTTGGCCAACTCGCACAACCTTGGATTTATGAAAAGGCGTTTGAGCATTTACAAAGTGCTCCATAATCCACATTGCCACAGACACCCTCCAGGAGTGTTGGTGTCTTGTGTACTTCTGGTTCTGGTTGTACAACTTGAACCATGAAGCTATTTTCTGCTGGAACCAATTTTCGTGACAAGACAAATGAAAGCACTAAAATATTCACAGCTGCGGAGCTTTGATGCGACTGTAACACAAGTCGCTACTTGAGACTTTGTTGGTTTCTGGCTGCTACCGGCTACTTAGCTCTGTCCTGCTCCTGTCACTGTATGTCTCACAGACACACCATCACTTACAGTATATTAGTCACACATGGAGTGACACACATTGACACACACACACACACACACACACGCCCTACAATATATCTGCACTCTAAGCACTGTCACATTTTGACTTGAAATGTCAAAACAAAACAACAATGTGTGTGTGTGTGGGGGGGGGGCTATGTAAGTTTGTGTCCTACTGTGTGTGTGGGTAGAAGTGGAGAGGGGGAGGCTGGATGGAGTGAGGTCGCGCCTTCTGACTTTTTATTGTTATTTCAAATTTTATTTGTCTCAGATGGCGACTCGATTTGCGGCTTACCACACGGGCGCGCGCGCGCACACACACACTGCATCCTTTGTTTTTCCCACTTCTCCGTGTCCGTTCTCGATTGTTCAATTTCCGTCCTCTCTTTCACATCACTACATTTCGTCGTTGCCATTCTTCGCTGTGACACCATGGTCATTGATTGTCATGTTCATGCACAAGGCTAAAGTCGGGATTCAGGAAGGGAGTGGTGTTTTTCTTTCGGTACAGAGTTCAAAGGTGACGTTGTGTGAGCAGTTTGTTCAGTGCAAGGTCAAAGGTTAGCGTTTAACAGGCCACTGCTTGTTGTTTCCTCTATCACGGAGATTATTAGGGCGTTCATGACATGGGTTGGTTCCCAAAAGTTGCCATCTTGATAACTGTTTTTATGTTTTCCATTCCCCCCAAGAGTTTTTCTCCCGAAAATTGGCCTTTTTTTTTTTTTTTTGCATCCAACGCCAAAATTATTCAATTACCCTCCTGAAATTTGTGCATGTCTATTACGACTAGACCCTTCAAAAAAAAGTCTCCCAAACCTATGCCCGAAAAGACACAGGGACTCCATTTTGCTTTGAAATGTCTCTTTTAGCATCAAGCAAATAAAAGAATAGCCTCAGATTTCTGAGCTTTACAAAAGCTGACATTTTTCCAAATATCCGAAGCCAGTTTCACTTGGGACCATAAAAGTCGGCAGGCATGTCTTTTTTGTTTTTTTTTTTTTTTTTCCATAAAAATCTCTGTTGGTAACTTTCAAAGCTTTTTGCTTCCACATTAAAATTTCGACAGAGCATGTCATTGAAGTTTGATCATTTTGAAGTTTTGCCATGAAAAAGAAGGTATGAGGGTCTGTGTTTTTTTTTCTTCCTATTTGGCTTGGAAAAATCTATTACTCATGGTTCCTTGCCCTTTCACTAGGTTGTCACATGAGATGTGTTTAGTATTTTTTAACCTACCTAAAATAAACTTGACACACACACACAAAGTTGCCACTTATCACTTTTTCCCTCTCTTGACAAGATTCTGCAGCCCTCTTGAACTTTCACCTTCACCAAACAACCAGGAGTCACTTTAAGCCATATGCACACATCCCAGGGTCATAATAGTTTTGGATTTTTCATTAGGGTTAGTTGAGATTTTGTTTGGACTTTTTTGGTTTTTAAATTCAGTTAGTTTTCATTTGTTTTTAGAGCAAGTTTATTAAGTTTAGTTAATTTAGTTTTTTTGGTTTTAGTTTTAGATTTTTAATGTATGGAGTAATTGGTGAGTGCAAGATGGGGGCAAAAAAAAAAAAGGTCATTAACCATTCTGAAATTGCACCTGAAAGCGGAATATCCCTAACCCTGCACTAGATGTACAATTTCTGGAAATAAACTGTAACTGTAGACCTACTTGACTGCAACCGACATCCTAATACACTCAGCAGACTTCATTGCTACTACCAATCTTACCGATGAGTTTCATGACATTGTCCAGTAGCAGGTTAATGTAAAATCGTGGCCCAGATATGTTTCGGATGTACAGTACGAGACAAGAGATGAGCATGTGATGAAAAAAAATGGATGGGCTTGTATGTGGCTTCCATGGAGGTGACACTAGGTGCAGAAAACGATGTATGGCACTCAGGTTTAAGGTTTCTTTTTTTATTTTCAGGCAGTGGTCTTTTTTGGGGTGAAGAGGAAAACTTACCGAGCTGACAGTTTAGGCTGTCACTTCAGCCTTCATCCGAGCTGTCTCTTTGCAAAAAAAAAAAAAAAAAGAAATAAAAAAGACCATTGTCTGGGAAAAAGAAACCTTCAACCTAATATCACCCATAAGTAGACAAGATGAACATCATAGCGCTATTGATGGTACATGCCAGTTTCTGAAATTCAACTTTTATTTTTGACGTGTTTTACATCGGAGGAACGCTGAACACTAACGTGACAGGGAGTCCGCGAGTAGATGTGGCTCTATTTTTGTCTGAATGGCGCTTACTGACTTTTGCACTTGAACTTGTCATGATAAAAAAAAAAAAAAAAAAAAGGGGGCTTGATGAATTGGTTTTAGGGTGTTGAGGAATGTCAAAGTGGCCTTGCATCTTCCTATTCCTCGGTGGAAAAAGTTGGAGGAACAGGAGGCAGGGATGTGGCAACGAAGAAGTTCATAAAGAGCGTGTGGCACAAGGTTAAGCAAACACAGCCTTGGAGGGTGAGGAGGACACAATTGAGGAGGTCAAGGAGGCAAGGTGCTCTCTGGTGGTCACCTTTATGTGCAGTTTGTTTATACTGTTGTCGGCGTAAATGGTTTAATGGTCCTGAGAGCCCAGCGGCCGGACCACACGGACCTCCAGGTCACACGGACCGCCACCTGACCTGTCCAGATGTGGCCCCTTTGGATGATGGGGAAGTGAAGCGAGCAGAGATGCAAAAAGAGAGAGAAGGATTACTGTGTCTCTCTTTGAGTGTTTGTTGCTCCTAATGGGCCTGGGAACACTTAAAGCACTTAAACCCGTCCGAGCCGTTTGACCTACGGGGCGCCGAGGTTAAAAGCCTCCCGCTGAAAGACGGAATGCCAGGCAGGCAGCGGCCAGCGAGAAGGTCAATGCGCCTGAAAGGATGAAGCCAGAGTAGAGGGTGGAACTGTGGAAACCTTAGCAGAGATGCTGAAGCAAGTTTTCTGACGACTCCATATAATCCCCCAAAAAGTCCACTTCCTTTAAGTTGTGTTTGCGCAGGTTAATTGAAAGCAGAGCAGGAATGTCACTTAGGAATCCCAATTTCTTGATTTGTGTCCCCCCCCCAACACACATACACATGTTTTGCTTCTGTTTATTATTTGCACATGCGCAAGAAGCAGACACACACTTATATATAGTCACACACAGGTTGAGGTATTCATCCTGGCGCAAAGCACTACGGCGTAACCTCAGACAAATTGTAACCATTCTAAAAGATGAGAGAAGGAAAGCGCAAGGAGGTGGTGAGGGTGGAGTCAAAGAATTGAAGTAACATGAAAGTAAAGCATGAAGGAGCTCATCCTTTGACAAGCCTTCATGGTGACATCCGTCATCAATGATGTAACATTGACAGAGAAAGTGTTTAACATTACCGTGTTGTTGTTGTTGTTCCTTCCTCAGGAGTTGGTTTGTCCACTGAGGTTGTCTTTTCAGCTTTCCTCAATGGCCGCTACCCACCAGCCGACCTGAACGGCGACATCACCCTGTCCTACAGCTCGCCCACAGGTACTAAAATGCCCCCACCCCCAAGGTGCTTTGCGTACCGCATGTGCTCATGCTAAGCTTTTTTTAAATTTTTTTTTTTTTTAATCAGTCTGAAAAAGGAAGGTAGCTTACTTTGATGCAATGGAAAACAATGACAAACACCAGATAACAGTGAGCCGAGCAGCGGTTGCGATTTCTTCTGCTCTGTTTGGATGCTGTGTGGTGCTCTGCCTCTCAGTGGTCAACGTCGGTACTACCACAGACAAGTTTATGCATGTGGTCAGCTGTGTTGGTCATTTGAAGTACACCGCACACTCGAAGAGTAGTGAGATCACACGTGAAATGTTTTTTCCTGGTCATGTGTGTGGCCTCTCTCACGTTTGCAAGAATTGGCAAAGATGTTAAAAAAAAAAAAATCAGCATGTGTGCAGCCAGCTGTAGTTCGAACAATGTCCCTTCTAGTCGTTCTCTTTCCACCACTGCTGGAAGATATGACTTTTTCCTTACTGCTGAGCACAGAAGCAGCCTTATTCCAAAATGTCACCGGATTCATTATTGCTCCAAATAGTCCAAATAATCTCCCGCAAAATGTAATTTAAGAAAAAAAAAAGGAGGTATTGTTTGTGTTGGCAGCAGTATCTTTTTTTTTTTACAAAGGAACCGTTTTCCCTTGCCCTATACCCGTTTCACGTCTGGGAACACGGGAACGCTGTAACATGGCGTTATTGTGAGGATAAAAATAGAACAGAAGTTGTCTGGATGGTTTTGTATGCTGCTGATGTCTGCAAGGTGAAGGAACCCGGTCAAAGCACCAGTGAGCATCACATGATTTTAACACAGTCCGACGTTAGTGTGTCATTGTCTTGTCTTTCCTGCAGGTCATTCCATCATGGCGTCATACACACTTCTGGGTGGTAGAAACAGAGAACATGTTATCTTGCAGTCACTACTAGCTTTTTTCAAAGCCGACTTCCGTTTTTTGCCAGCCCTTTCAGAGCATTTTGACTGAACCTTTAAGACCTACTCAGAATTCTGGGGGGTTAATCATTTTGGGAGGTCTTTAACCCTCGTGCCCACAGTAGAACATTTTACAAAAAAACACCGGCTTCTGACCAAAAAGTGTCAAACATGAAACATGTCAAGCTGAAGAATGACGTAAATCAAATTTGACAATTTACTGACAGAGACCCGTAGGTGACGCTGTTACACGGCATGGCTTGAGTGTGGCTTTTTTACATGGTGTTTGTCATTACTCCATCAACTCCGTCATCCTTCTCAGGAGCGGGACACACACTTTGTACTACCTATCGCGACACATATTCTGTTTATACCATGCATACACATTCTCTGCTTGAGTGTGTGATGCGTCAACTTGTCCGACTTCCAACATGTTGGCGTTGCACCCCCTCATAATCGACTCAACATGCCGAGATGCACCACCTAATCGTTATCCTCCACCCAAAAGCTGTGCTGATCTCAAATCCAAAGTGATGAAACGCCGCTGCCGACGGGAATCTGATGACCTTACCTTACATGACAACATTACAGTGGTTCACAAACCAGTATTTCACAGACAAAGCTGGGCAAAACTCTCATCCATGCCTACCTGTTGAAAAAATGTCCTCGGGGAAATGGATTAAGAAAACTGCATCAATGACTTGAATGGTGATTTTTCTACAAGGAATTCCTCTCGACTGCAACAGTGCGAAAGTCACAGTTCAATCTCAATTATCCGTAGGTGTGAATATGACTGAGAATCCTTGTCTGTCTATGTGCCATGTGATTGATTGACTGGCAACCTGTCCAGTGGACCCCACTTCTCTAGCCGCGTGTGTGCGTGCGTGCGCGTGCATACGAGCAATCACGTGCACTTGGCGTAGCGTGGGAACGAGAGCGAGCGAAACGCATCCGAGTGGAACATCTGCGTCTTGTGTGATCCGTTTTCTCATGTCTTCTCCTTCTTCTTCCACGCAGAGTTCAACCCCAAAGGTACGTGCACGCTCATGTGCATAGAGTAGAGCTTGTAGACACGCACACACACACACACACACACACACACACACACACACACACATTACTGTACTTACTGTATAAACAGGAAGAAAGCGCAGTCTGCCGTTTGTTTCTGAAACGTGATCCCCGACAGGAGTCCACGCACGCACACACCCATTTCATGCAAGACATGCACGCTTGCTCGTTGTACGAATATTGTCTTTTTATCTTTAGTACAAGATTTCTGCGACGCACGCACACAAGCCCGCAGGTATACGCGTGCCTCTTTGCTTTATCAGTTAGAAATATTTTTAATATTGTGAGGACACGCACACCCAGGTTTTCTTTTTATTTCTCAGTCACAATTTCATGTGAAGCACGCACGCCTTGCTTCAAGATTGAAAACATTTTCTTTCTTATGAGATTTTTTTTGCAACACGCACCTGCATGCATGATGGAAAAAAAAATTCCATCCTTCAAACACGATTTCTTGTGACATACGCATACCTATGCACACAAGCAGTATAGACAGTAGTATTCCCTCTTGTCAACCAGTGTTTGTTTTAGTTGTCTGTCTTTGTGGGCTTTGATACAGAATCGGATGTGCTGTGATGTAAAGTGGGTTTAAGAGGCCCACTAGGGGTACGCACACATGCACACACATACACACGCTGCTCTTCTGTGGGGCCAACGTCGGGTACAACTATGGTCAGAGCGAGGCGGTGTCTACTTATTTAAGCTCAGAAAAGAAAGTGCAAGACAGCATGAATTTTCACTGGTGGAGGCGCTACTTCAACTAGCTGCTACTTTACGTTTGCAAATTAGGGTCGAGGAATTCATGCAGGTGGCAAATGTAAAAATGTCTGCAGCCCTCACCAAATAAACCACTTCGCCAAGCTTCGAAGGACACCGCTTATCAGAAGCTAACATTGTGAACAAAATTCTACGTAGCTCTGCTCAACTTTTGGTGTTGATATGCATTTTACACAGTCTAGTCCAGCCATGGATTAAAAGTGAAGGATTTTCATCCGTCCTCGCTGAGAAGAAATTTGATGTGGGAGGTGGGATTGTGTCAAGTTATCCCACTGTTGCATCACAACCTGAGAAGGGCTCAGTCATGGACATATTTTCAGAATTAGTCGGAAAACAAATATTTTTTACTCCGTTTATTCACACTTTGATGGGTAAGCAGGTATTTCAGACAGCCAACTATTTATATACCAGATGTTAAAAAGCGAGTTTTACATCCTGTGCCCCCTTCGGGAACTGTGTCCCAATATTTTGGCCTATATGGTTCATCTTGATGGCTGTTCTTTTAATCCTACAGTTTTTCCTATTCTCTGTTTTTCTCTTTTCCTCCACCCAAGATAGAGTTTCCACTTTTTTTTTTTTTTTACCCGAAAAGCGCTTGTCACAGGAAACCCAAAGATTCTTTGCTTTGGCTCGTAACAGCGGCCTTCACGCTGAGGGCACCTGCTGGTGGGGCGGCGGCAGAGACAGGGGTGGGGAGGGGTGGTGAGAGGGACTCGGGCAGAGCCGTGGGCGGCGGTCGTTGGGCGGAATTTTGCGAAAACATCCAGCGAGCACGAGACAGTAGCTCAGAGGGGATAATGGTTGCAGTCTTTCTTCACGGCTGCAGTTTGCCTTGGCTGCGCTTGGCTTTTGTTCATTCAAAACCAATAGAATTATTCACATGGTCGTAAGATAATTATGCGCGTGTGCGTCTGTGTGTATGAGAGAATGTGTGTGCAATGCCCGTGAGAGAGAGTCTGTATAAGTCTTTTTGTGTGCGCGTGAGATTGTGAATTTCGTGTGAGAGCTACGGGCAGTAAGCTACAAAATAGTGATATGAAGTACACGGCGGCTGTCATTTCTCACGTGAACTCTTTTATTTCCACGGCTTGTTCTCGTTTTTCTGCTCAGTCCAGCGAGAAAGTTACGTTTGGCCGCCTGCTCTGTTTTCTCTCCTCCTCAAACAACTTCCCTTTTGGAGAGTGCAGGCTTCAGGTCGGGTCGACTCTCTCCTGTAAAAAAAAAACAAAAAAAACCAAAACATGTCTGCTGTGCACAGGGAAAGCCAATGTGCGTCCGTCTGTGATATACCATAACTTCTATGCTAATTTCCGTTAGCCTGTCCATGATGTTTTACATTATTTGTTAGCTTCAAACTAGTGGACTTTCCTGCGACAAAATGCCATGTTTTGATTGAATATTGTGGTGTTTGAATATACATTTACAATTTTTAATTCTCTTTTGCTTTATGAGGCAGTTTTTCAGTAAACTTCAACTGGGAGTGCCAAGGAAACAGCTTGAAGCAATCACGCTGTTTCTTGTTTCTCTCTATATAGTTCTTGTTTTGTTTTTGCCTTGCAGGAGTCCCTCACGTGATTCAGTGCCAGTTCAAGCTTCCTCTTGCCCTCGTCTGCACGGCAACGTCTCCCAGCAAGAGCAGCAGCAGCAGCAGCATCTTCAAGATCACTGTGGACACCAACCAGCCACCTGTGGACCTGGCAGCCATTTTTCCTGGTATACCACACACGCACACACACACACGCGCGCGCACACACTCACGCACATAAAAGTGATTCTTCATGTATGTGTTTCAATGGGAGGTCCTTTTTTCCCAGTAATCTGACAATCGGCTGCAATCAGCAACTCTGTCGACTAAACACTCTCTCTCGCGTGTGTGTGTGTGTGTGTGTGCGTGTGCATGTGCGTGTGTGTCTCTTTGTTACCAGTGTGACTGTCTTTTGTTGCCTTTTGTCGGCGTCCTGCATGGCGATAGGCCGTGCTATCAGAGGCATCATGCTGGCCTTTCTTAACTTTTTATTTTATTTTTTTTTTGTATGTACTGTATGTGTGTGTCTGCAGAAATTGCGGCTCAGTCGGCAGATAATGAGGGAAACAGTTTGGCTTTCCGCTTCTTGCCGGGCGGCCTGGTGACCGTGCTTGCCTCCAAGACCTCCCGTAAGAAGTCTTTTGTGGAATACTTGCCCCTGACACGAACAGCAAATATTCTCGACTAATGAATTTCCCGCTCTCGATTTTTGTTGTTGTTGTGTAACAGCTTATTTCAGTTGTTTGAACCCAAAATATGTAAACCCAATCTTAGGTTCCCAAAACATGTGAATATCCTTTCAAATTCATCTTACATTACCATAAACTGTATTTTTTTTTCATATCACAGGACCCACATTTACAACACACACACACACACACACACACACACACACACACACACGAACAAGACATGCACACACGCACCCGACATCCAGACACGGAAGATACAACACATCACACACGAACAACACAAAGAAATGCAAAACACACAAGACCTATGCATACACAAAAACGACAATAAACAAGACACATAAGACACACCCACCCACACAAAAACAAACATGAAAAGCCAAGGCACACGCACGCACACACACACAAACACACATGTACAACATAGACATGTACAACAAAGATGCAAATAAAAAACACAGTAAACAATACAACAACAACAACACGTGCACACACAAACAAGGCAAACACAAGACACACACTAGATCTTAATTACTCCTCCACTAATATTTTACATTTCAATAAATCATTTGATTTAATAATATTGAATATTTTGCCTTTCCTTTTGGGCGCCATCCTGTGTGCGTTACAGGAAAAAACACAAATAAGTAGACAGGCGCGAATGCATGTGGTTTTGTTTTGTTTTTTTTAGCCAAAACCTGCTTGTCAGGATATATTGCTGTTCTGATCAATGTTTTTTTGTTTTGTGTGTTTTTTTTTTTTTTTTTTTTTTTGTGCATGCGTCAGAGCGCTATCGCATCCAGAGCGACGCCTTCGAGGACATGTGGCTGGTGGCCAACGAGCTGGTTCACAGAGTCGACGTTCATTTTGCCAAGCAGGGAGTCGACGACTTCAAGAAGAGCTTCAGCGGACCGCTGCCCCTCAAGGACTACTTCCTGTCTGTTGACCACCACTTCCAGGTACACACATTATTTACTTGCTGAAATGGCAGCAGGGTACCCTAGTGGTTAGCATGTCTGCCTCAGTGTCGGGAGGTTCTGGATTTGATCCTTACTGTTTGGAATTTGCCTTGTGTGAGTTTTTTCCTCCCCCGCTCCACAAACATGCATTTCCATAGGTGTGAATGTGAGTGGGAATGCTTAGTTGTCTATATGTGCTCTGGTGACCAGTCCCAAGTATATCTAAATGTGTGGATTTTGGTGTGTGTCAGCTACGCGTCAGCGCTCAGAAGTACCAGGACCTCCTGTCCGAGCGAGCGGCCCAGTTCCGAGCCATCCAGCGCCGCCTTCTGACCCGCTTTAAAGACAAAACACCAGCACCTCTGCAGAACCTCGACACACTGCTTGACGCCACATACACACAGGTACACAGCGCACGCACACACCCTGCTCATTAAGGTGAAAAATGATTCAGGTGGAGAAACTGAGAATTTTGATGCAACTGTAGCAGAATGGCTTATTTAAATGGCACACATTATGAGAGAGAGAGAGAGAGAGAGAGAGAGAGAGAGAGAGAGAAATTTTCACTCGCAGAGGCAGCGCTTCATCACCAAGCCACCAAAACCAACTGCTTATCAGAAGCTTTCCTTTCGGCTTTGGCATGTTTGCGTTTCAACCGTGGCTTGATAGTGGTTCTGGATGTTCTCCAAACCTGGCTGCCAATTCATGGGTGGAGAAACTTTGTTTGCGTTTAGTTATGTAAATTATCTGATTTTTAACGGCCTCACAGTGAGGTTAAAGATTTCCTTGGGTGTATAATTTCTCACTTGATGTGTCCGCAGGCACCCCAGACCAAAGACTATTCTTGTACAAGACATTAAAAAGTCACTGACACATGCCTTTTGTCTCCTAAAGAGTGGATCAGTGGTCAAATGAAGCATAAAAACATTCAAATAAATCCTGTAGGCTGGATGTCAACTCCTCAAAGATGCGATACATTTCAGGAACTGTTTCTCACAGAACACACATGCTCCGCATTGACGTGTTCGTGTAGATTTCCTGTGTGAGACTTGAAGTTTGATGATTTGTGGATGTCCTGTTTCAGGGTGATTAGCTGTGAGTTCACGCCCAGTACAGTTACATGCGTCGACACACACAGGCACACGCACGCACACGCACACACATACTCATGCAGGCGTGAAATCTCACAATTTTCAGCAGAGACAACTTTGATATGTCCACATGCCGACATTCTTTCTCATCGGGGGTGGACGTTGGTGTACGTGTGTGTGGTTATGGTAATGTCACCAGCGTTCATTGATTGCATTCACATTTACTGCTATATTTTCATCCAGTAGTGCCTGAAGACTTCATGAGTTCTTCAAGAAGCCGAATTGTCATGTAGCCAATTTTTTGGGCCTTGATTTTTGAACCGAAATTTGACATACAAGCGCTGAATTCAACTGAACTCACTTCACAGCAAACCCAGTACATGATGTGCATTTAACAAAATGATACACTCCAAAATCCTCCGTAGCGTTAGCATGATTATACGTACGTAGGCAGGTCCCTAATATTGCGATCTTTGGCCACATGCTGGTTTTCCCCACTGCGGGTGAACTCGGTGGCATCTTGCCAGTCGTCCTGCCGCTGCGCAGGAATGTGCGACCAATCGGGAATGCCGGAGAACAGAAACAGAGCTCTTTGAGAAAAGAGTTAATAGGTTAAACATTGATCCTGTTGCATACTGCCGGTTGTACGATAACAGCGGGGAAAGTGCGGGTATTGAACCTTTTCGCAGGGTTCTTGCTTGCTTTCAAGGGTGTTGAGATGTTCACTGTAAAAAGTATGGGCAAAAAGACAAGACAAAAAAAAAAATAAGGGTACATATTGGAAGGCGGGGTTCGCTGTCGCAATATTGAGGTTTGTAGATTGTTTTCCGAAATTGCTGTGGAAAAGACAAAACAGCCACTTGGCCACTGAAGTGCTTGTGCGTGTCTGTCTTCTGCCCACATCTCAGACACACTCCCATTGCCCACTTCCCCAAAACAAGCCCCCCCTTCAACCACCACCACCACCATTTTGCCACCCCTGCCACTAGCATCAGTCGTCCGCCCTCCTGTTTCACTTGATTAATCGCTGGTGGCCAGAGGTGAGCATGATACTAACTGCTGAAGCTCTCAAACCTTCAACAGGGAGGCAAACTCGCAAGTGTCACTCAATCCCAGAAGGAGTTGCGGCGGGTCACGAAGAAGGGAGGCGGCCTTTTTTTCCCCCCACTTTCCATAAATATTTTCCCCGCTGCCGTTTCCTCTCCAAACGCTTTTTTTTCTTCTTTAGATTGTTTGTTGTTTTTTTAAATTTATTTTTTATGTTTTGCGTGAGCGTGCGGGACTCTCCATCCAGGAGGGGAGGCGGCAGCGGGAGCTCAGGGAGCCGATCCGGGCCGGGACCCAGCCCGTCCCTGTAATTAGGAGTTCAAACGGCTCGCTGACTGACGGCGTGACTGACAGGCCCGTCCAGGGGCCCTGCGGGGGCCCCTAATGGAGGCTTCTGGTGGACAGCGGCTTGATTTATCGGGTCCCAAATGGGCTTCTAAACATGGCTAAACACAGATGCCACTGTGGAGCCGGACCACCGCTATTAACAGCCGGGCCTCATATTCCCGTGCCCGAGCTCCGACACGTGTACGCGCACACACACGGACCTGTACTCGTGTTACATTCTCGGGTATTAGCCTGATTTCTGCCATTTGAAGTGGATTCCATTTCCGACATCCAGTCGCTCTCCATCTTCCAGTGTTTGCTTTTAGTGGATTGGAGAGAATTCCGCATGTGCGCCGCACATTTGCGGATCAAAACACGTGGTGCGCGTTAGGGAAGCTGGACTGGCTTGGCCCGTGCTATTTCGCCGCTTTTTGAAGTCGAATGTGGACGGAATATTTCCAGTTGTCACTTTTGAACGTTGCTCAGATGGAAAACGGGTCAGGGAAGAGCCTTCGGGTTCGCTTTGGCTCTGATGACTTGTGTGGAAAGGTGCGCAGCCTGCACACAAAAAAATACTGAGTTGTTTTCCTAACCCACTCGCTGGGTTACTATGGATTTTGAGCAGATTGACCAAATACAGTGTTCTTAGAATTTATGTATTTTTTCCTAATTTCTGTTTTTCAAATGATTATTAGTAGCGCACGGACGGTGTGACAGCCCCATGGGGGGGATCTTAATGTTGTAGCGTATTGTTTGTTGCTCATTGTGTAATAATGTCTTTGAAAGTGTAAATGTTGGACCCTTTCACCTGGAAAAGAGTGTCTGTCTGTGAGTGCATATGTGCGTGTGAGTGTGCGTGGGATTAAAGGACCGTCGGGAGCCCAGAAACTCTGGCTCCTCAATCATCTTGTGACTCGCCCCTCAGGAGATGTTTCACCTCAGTAACACACACATTTACACGCTTCAACACACGTACTCACACACATACACACAGAGGTTGAGAGGATGAATGGCGCACAGTAGAGTGTCGGTGGTCCGGTTTGTTTTGCCTGAGTGTGTGTTTATGTCACAGAGGGACTTATCAATGAAAGGCTGGCTTTCATGCAGCTCGCTGACACTCGCTTTTGGTGTGTGTGTGTGTGTGTGTGTGTGTGTGTGTGTGTGTGTGTGTGTGTGTGTCTCTCTCTCTCTCTCTCTCCCCGTCTTTCACATCAACGGCAGCCCCCGGTCTAAACTTCCCATCCGGGCAAGGGAAAACTCAAAGAAAACGTATCTAGTGATGCTACACAATGATTGTTTGGATGGGAGAAGTGGCAGTTAAACAGGCCAAAATCCAGTGTAAACAGCAAATGAATAAATAAATAAATAAATAAAACTTATGTGGCCAAAGCTGAACAATAAATTCCAACTGGGCCTGAGGGTTTAATAACAGCATCTTTGATTGCTGTACATCAATGTGAAGTCCAAGCATACTAATAAGCAACGTTACAGTAGTTGCTCACTAATAACAAAGTGTCAATCAAAATTGACCATGATTTGATGGACCCTGGATGAATATTCGAGGGCCAAATTGGTGAGGCAAGATGTTTTGGGGCTTTTTTTCGTAGTTACGCAGTGACTTCTGTGACGAACGTCAAGGAGACAAAAAATATGAAGACAAATATCTTTTCATTAAGAGCTCTTTAATGTTAGCGCTAGGGGAGCGGGAGAGGTTAACATTTTTCCCAGCATAGTCATCGGTCGCCAGGCGGAGATTTCATAAAGCCTCCATGTTGGAAGCTCTCGATGCCGCCAGGGACATCAGAGGGGTCCTGTGAGGTGATCCCGCTGATTTTATTAAATACTCCCGTCGTCGTCAGGGCAACGGCTGACGTGCACTTGCAGCCGTGTATTGAACAGGACAAACAGTCAAAAACACAAATGCAAAATGAAAACGGTTATAAGGAGCATGAAGATGCTCACGCTAAAGTTATCCGCATGATCAGTACAGCAGTCGATGCTCCTGATGTCACTAATAAAAATTATATGTTGAAAATTTGTCAATTATGTCATTGTTGTAGCATAAACACACTGTACTTGATGAGCTGGTGCACGCTCTGTAATCTAGAGGATTTTTATTTTATTTTTTTAAAATAATGCATTTTTATTTTTTTATTTTTTTTAAATAATGAATAAGATGCATGCGTTGTTGACTACTTTGCATTGTTGGACACATTGACATTATGGAGGTGAGTATCTACTGTTTCACAGTACATTCAACAACATGACAAAATGGATAGGTAGATACTTTATTGATCCCCAGAATGGACGATTCAGAACACAGCGACGGTGTAAATATGGAGTCACAGATGGCGGTGTTATTCAGTATCGAGGCAAGAACCCGACCGACCTATTTTGAGGAGTGGGAAATGCTGTTGATTTTGAGAAATGGGTTTGTGCCAGTGCAAGAATGGTTTTCTTGATTTTTGTGGAATATTGTTCAGGAGCCAGGGTGAAAAATCCATTCGATTTCAAGGAACGGGTTGAGGGTCAGAAAAGAATCTTGCTGATTTTGAAGCATTGGAATCCGTTGATTTGGGAGATTTGTTGTTTCGTGCCAGGAGAAGAATCCGATTTGATTTTGACTGGATATGTTTAATTTGGGGGCTTCATTGTTCAGCACCAGTCCACAAATCCCGTTGATTTGGAGAGTTTTGAGGAGCGGTTCTTCTATTCCAGGACCAGAATCCTGTTGCTTTTAAGAAACGCGAATCTTGTCGATTTGTGAGTTTTGTCGTTGGTGCGAGGACAAGAATCCCATTGCCTCTGAGGAATGTTTTTTAATTCGGTTTTTTTTTTTTCTCTTTCGATTTTGAGGAACGGGAGTCGTATCGATTTTGGGGCTTGGTCGTTGATTTTGAAGAGGCGGACCTTCAGTCTTGTTCTCTCTCGCCACAGCAGACGAGATTGAGGACCCTCCCGAAGAAGGACATCTCCTTGGCCTCGTCGCCTCCTGCTCCCCTCCTCCTCTCCTCCCTCCTCTTCTCTCGCACCGTCCTCTGCTCCTTCTTCTGCCTCTCCTTTCTCTTCTCCTTGTCCCGCTTCTCCATCTCCTCCCACTCGGCCTTCAGCTTCCTCTCCCGCTCCTTCCTCTTCTCCTCCTCCCTCCTCTCTCGCTCCCTCCACTCAGCCCGCAGCTTCTCCTTCTCCTTCCACTCCTCCCTATCCCTCCTCTCGCGCACCCTCCTCTCCTCCCCCCTCCTCTCGCCCAGATCCTCCTCCTCGCTGTCCCACCACTCGTCCTTCCTCTTCTCCCTTTCCTTGCGCCTCTCCTCCTCCTTCATCTCCTTCACCCTCCACTCGGCCTTGAGCTTCTCCCTCTCCCTTCTTTTCTCACCTTCCCGCTTCTCCCTCTCCTTCCACTCGGCCTTCTGCCTCCTCTCCCGGTCCTTCCTCTTCTCCTCCTCCTTCTTCTCCCTCTCCACCCAGTCCTCCTTCAGCTTCCGGTCTTTCTCCTTGCTCCTCTCGTCCTCCTTGCGTTCTCTGTCTCGCCACTCATCCTTCATTTTGCTCACCCTCTCCCTCCACTCATCCTCCAATTTATCCTCCTTGTCTCTCCTTTCCCATTCATTCTTCATCTCCTTTCTCTCCTCCTTCCAACTGGGTGCCTTCTCCTCCTTCCAGCTGCTTGGAGTCATCTTCTCATCCTCATTTAGAGCACCTTTCACCACCTCTTGCTGCTCCCCGTCCTCCTTTTCCTCTAAATCCTTCAAACCGCCGCTCTGCAGCGTGCGCTCATTCTTCACCTCCTTCTGCGTCCGGTGACCGGAGGTTCCGCTCTCCCTTTCTTTCTTCTCCTCGTTCTCCTGATTGTGCCTCCCTTTCACTTCTTCCTCACACTCTGTCAGCTGATTTTGGTTGTTTTCGGTCTTTTCCTCCTCTTCCATTTCTTCCTGCTCCCTCTGATCACTGTCGGTTTCTTTCTTCTCCTCATTTTCCCTCTCTTTCTCCCCCAGTTTCTGTTCCCTCTCATCACGGTTGGTTTCCTTCTCCTTGGCCTCCATATTTTCCTGCTCTTTGACCTCCTTCTCCTGTCCCGTTTCTTCCTTTTCACTGGCTTCCTCCTCATCTGTCCCGTTCGCTTCCACAACCCTTTCCTTCCCTTTCTCCTTTTTGTTGTCTTTCTCCTCCTCCCTTCCTTTCACCTCCTCCTCTCTATCATCATCCTCCTCCTGGTTGCTTTCTTCCTCCTTTGCACCCTCCTCCTTGGCCTCCTCCTTATTCTCATTTTTCTCCCTCTGGTCGTTGTGCTCCTTCTGCTCCCTTTCCCAGCATTTCTCATCCTCCTCCTGCTCCTCCTGTGTGTTATCCCCCCTGTTTTTATCCTCATACTTTTGAGCTTTCGCTTCCTGTTCTTTGTCCTTCTCCTTCTCGGAACACTCTTTGCCATAATCCTCCGCCACCGCTTCTTTCTCTTTTATCTTCACCTCCTTTTCCTCAGCCACCCTCCATCCTCCAGCCAGGTCCTAAAAAGGTGGTGTTCAACAGTGAAGTCATTGACAAAAACGATTTTGTATGTATACGCACCAGATGGGTCTCCGGCTCCTTCTGTGTCTCATCGCAGTCTTTGCCGTCCTCCTCTACCGCCTCCTTCTCGTTCTTCTCCTCCGCCACGGTCCATCCTCCAGCCGGGTCCTAAGAAAGAGGTTTCAAAGTGGTTCACCACTTCACCACCAGTCGTAAAAAAAACGTGGTTGTATGGATACGCACCACGAGGGTCTCCGGATCCTCCTGCCTTTCGTCCCTGCCCTGGAGCAGCTCCTCCTTCTCACGCCTCCAGCTGGCCTCCTTTTCGGCCAGCTCGGTGGCCAGGTCATCCTTAGAGGCCTTGATTTCGTCCAGCTCGCGGTTGGTCTTGCGCAGCTCCACTCGGACGCTCTCCAGCTCCACGTTGATGGTGCGCAGCTCCACCTTGAAGCGCTCCAGCTCCAGGTTGCTCTTGCGCAGCTCCGCCTGTGTCTTCTCTCCGGCCCGCATGGTGTTGGACAGCTCCGAGTTCTCAATCAGCATCTTGCGGTAGTTGCCCTCCAGAAACTTCAGGTAGGAGGCAATGTTCTCCTCCATCTTGGGCTCGCGCACACTCAGCTCCCCGGCACTCTCCTTCTCTGCAAAGGGCCGATGGCCCGACATCATGGCGATGCGTATTTTGGTCTTTTTGTGATGAGGTGGCGTCGCTCTCTGTGTCATCATCACATTCTGAGGTGATGACGCTTCAAAAGGAGCGGCGGGCAGCTGGTAGGAAGATGTGTCAAGGAAAGGAAGAAGGCTCTGTGACTTGGGCAATAGGCAGAGATGCTTTGTAAGGTCTTGGGATGGTCCTTTGAAGAGACCTCGATCATCGTCCTCGTCATCATAAGCGCTCTATACAGCTATGTTGGACACTATTTTGCAACATACTCAGTAGGGCTGAACAATGAATTGAATGCAAATCGACATTGCAATGTCATAGAATGCAATTTGGAGGGGGAAAAAAATGCCTGATCCAAACAACCAATGATTTCTCAAGAAAAATCATGAAAATGATCAGGGGTGCCCAAACTTTTTCATACCACGGTATCTATCATTGGATGGATGAATAGATCGTCAGTGCTTATTTACATACTGCTTCATGAACATTTGAAATGATAAAACAGATTTATTTGTATTATTTATATAATGCAACATGACTTCATTGAACTATTCGAATTTGTTTTTTTAACTGGACGTAGTGAACGCGTAAACGATTGCAAGTCAGTTTAAACCTAATCTATAAGACCAAAAATCTATGTGTAACAACTCAAGTTGTTTATTGTAATACAGAATAATTTCTTACTTGTGTTTGTGAAATGTGAAGGGGACCTTGAAACGAAAAACATCACAATACAGAACTTGGGAAAAAAAAATCACTACTCACTTCTTTTTCAAAATTGTTCAGCCCGACTCTCGAATATTGTGAGATGGTCTTTCTAGATATGTTGCAGTGTGTGTACAAAGTATATACCTGCGCCTGTTGTATGTGTGTTGCTCTGCCCAAAGTCAACATGTCTGCCCCTGCACGTTCTGTGCACTTCACTTCCGCGCGACAGACAATGGCTGATTTGTAAGATTACACACTGAATTTATGGGTGCGCGTGTACGCGTGTGTGCTCGCAAGGACAGCAGCCTGGCGACGCCGAGATGAGGATATTTATCTTGTAGCAGTAAATTCCCAGAGGTTTCCCCCCCACCCCCTCTCGTGCTCTCTTGTAGCGCTCACTCTTCAATGAGACCATTCAGTGCTAACCAAACACACTTATGCGCATACACACACACACACACACACACACACACACACACACACACACACACACACACACACGCACACACACGGGTGCGACAAGTGTGTATGTGTTTGTGCGTGACTGTGATTGGCTGTCCCTGTTCGATGTGGTTGCAATTGTTAACATCCATTTAGCGTTACTAGCTTTGATTTGGTCTCTTGCAGTTTTTTTTGTGTGTGTGTGTGTGTGTGTGTGTGTGTGTGTGTGTGTGTGTGTGTGTGTGAGACTGTGATTGACCATCGTGTAATACCAATGTCTTTTGTCAACTGGCCTTTTGATAGCTTTAGCTAGATTAGCATCCCATTAGCACGATTAGCTTTCAGTTGGTCTCCTGCAATTTTGTGTGTGTTTGTGTCCACTTACACACACTCGATACGCGTTCAGCCCGGGAGGTTAGTGTGAACTTTTAATGACAGGGTTGTGTGTGTGTGTGTGTGTGTGTGTGTGTGTGTGTGTGTGTGTGTGTGTGTGTGTGTGTGTGTGTGTGTGTAATGAGTAGAGAGAGAGGTTCTGTGTGATTATAGGCCTCCATTTAGAACCAGAGAGACTAAATATGGCTTCAGACTAAACACACACGCGCACACACACACACGCACGCACTCGTGCCTGTGTACGTGTTGGCAGTGTAAAGCACATCAGAAGAGAAAAGAAAATAGAATATTCCTCCTGACAGACAGGATGTAGTTAACTTCCTTCAAAATCTCCCGTAGGAAATATAATACATACATCAGCTCAACTTCCTTGTATCCGCTTTTCAGTCTTCACTTTCTTGTCTCCACTTCCTCGTCTGCACTCCGGACGCCACAACCTCTTCTCCACATCCTTGACTTTGACTTTGACTTCCCGTCTCCACTTTCTCGCTTCACGTTCATCTTCTCCTCCACTTCCTCATGTAAACTTTATAGTTTCCACTTCCTTGTCTCCACTTCATCATCTCTTTCCCCCCTCCCATCTCCACTTCATTGTACTTCCTCTTGTCTCTATTTCCATGTCTACATTTTATTATCTCCACTTCCTCGTCTTCTTTTTCTTGCCTCCGCTTTGTCCGTACATCCTCATCTCCACATATTTATCATTACATCTTGATCTTTGCGTTCTCATCTTCGTTTACTTGTCCACACTCTCTTCACTTCCTCGTCTCGACGATCCCATCTGTCGTTTTTTTGGATCAACTTTCTCATTTCTGCATCGTCACCTCCACTTTTTTTGTCTTCACTTCCTTATTCCCGCATCATCGTTTTCCCATTCCCGGTCTCCACGTCCTCATCTCCGCTTCCTCATCTTCTTCACCTCCTCCTCACTCGCGCCTACACGTTGTTGCCCGCGCATCCTCATCCTAACTACCTTTTCCGCTTGCTTATCTTCACATGATCATTTCCGTGTCTTCCCTTTCTCATCTCTATTTACTGGTCTCCATATCCTGGTCTCCACTTCTTTGCCTTCACTTTTTCATCTCCACTTCCTGGTCACATTTCCTCATGTTGACTTCCTTGGTTGCACTTTCTCGAGATTCTGTCGATTTCTGGCAATGTCGTAAAAATTGGCGATATTAATAAGAAGGACTACTTTCTATATTGTGTTAATGCGTTGATGAGTGTGGAGCAGCACATGCGCACACACCCATACTGCACAGCTGCCTTGCTGGAACAGGCCCTTGGGGTTAGTCACATCGCATTCTCTGACCACTTTCACTAGCTGTGCCTGTATGTGTATGTGTGTGTGTGTGTGTGTGTGTGTGTGTGTGTGTGTGTGTGTGTGTGTGTGTGTGTGTGTGTGTGTGTGTGAGATTTGGTGCGTGTGCGTGCGTGTGATTTAAGGGTGTTCGCTACGGGGTGAGTGTGTGCTGTCAGCATATATGTTTGAACTTTCACCCCATCCACACGTCCACGCAGCTGTAGCAGACCGCTTTATGAGGTGTTTGCGTGCGTGCGTGCGCGCGTCTCATTTTATTCATGTGACCTGCCGCAACCGCCTATCCAGGCGTTGCGTTATGTCCATCCAGATGTTTCCACACATGCGCTTTGATAGTGCAACACCTGATAGAATATGATTTTTTTTTTCTGTTTACACGTTGGGTTTCATGATTCCAATTTTTGTTTGTTCTTAAAAGTAGTTCCAATGTTTGACTTGTAAATAAGCGATGGAGTTATTTATTTTGTGGGGTAACTTGTTTTCCATGTTATCACGATAATAATTGTAAAAATAATTCAAAACATTTTAAAATAACAATATTACAGCTTAAAAATCGTTAACTTTAACTAACTTTTGGTGCCCATACATTTGTTGAATGAAATTTAAAAATGGATTCTTCAAATATTTGAGAAAAATATTTGAAAAAAAATTACTTTTAACTAATATGTTTTTTAAAATAGTTTAGTTAGTAAAAAACAATATCATCATGATAATAATAGGGAGTCCATAAAATAGATAAAGTATATTTTTAGTAGTTTAAAAAGTTTATTTTAATATTTTTTGATTTTTTATTTTTTTACATCTTAGTTCAATTTGTAAACTATATCAGAAGAAAATTTGGATTATTTTTTTTTGTGCCCATTAAATATTTGAAATAAACTGAAAAATATCATGAGCAAAAATATCACAAGTGCAGAAAAACTGTCATTATTCAAACAGTTTAACTTTTCTGCACCCATACGATTGTTAAAACAATACAAAATATATATTGTTTTTAACATATAGATGGAGCATTAGCTTTTTTTGTGACTTTTTTTACATTCATAAAATGGTGAAAAGAAATCAAAAAATGTAAGTTGGGTTTTTTTAAACTTTTTTGGATGCTTTAAAAAAAATAATAATTATACTAAGAAAATATACGATAGTGTCCATAAAATACTTCAAATGAATACAACTGATTTTGAAAAATCTATCAATGACAGAGAAAAGTGAAATGTCTGTCCTCACGTGTACATGAAGACACTTTGGACGTTAGTGCCAAATTGTCCACCCAGAAGTCCACTCCCACTCAACCCGCTCATTATTTAATCTCTGGGTGGGCCTCAGCGTGTTTGAGATCGCCTCTGAACCTGTGAAGGTCAGTCCCCCTGCAGCCTGAGGCTACCGGCGTCCTGGGATCTGGGATGGATGTTAATCCCTGGTTGGGTGTCACTGCGGTGGGTCACGCTCTGTAATTTAGTCCCCTGCTCGGTCAGGGGCCTCTGGGCCCTCGGGACCACCCACTTCACTGCTGTGTGTATGCATTGAAGAACAGTTTTGTTTTTTTTTTTGCCTTCAGTCTATTTTAGTATTGCCTGCTACAGGTGTGACATTAAAGAGAGTACACGCCTGTGAGTATGCTTGTTTGTTCTGTATGCCGTATGGTAGAAGGTCGCGCAGTGTCCAGTGTCAACAAATCAATATGCTAAGCTAACATAACTAACATTGAGTTTCGTTGGTGCGTATGTGGAGGCTTCAGTCAAGTGTGTCTATGGAGAGGAAAAGTGAATTGCCACTCAGAGACAGAAAGATGCAGCAACAACAGTGATGTTTTCCTCAAAGTGGTTCCAGACGAGGTTAAGTCCACCAAAAAAAAAAAAAACAGTCACCAAAGTGTTCAAGTGTCCTTTTGTCAGGCCGTGATTGATGAGCCGCCAAAGGAGGCAACTTCAATGTTTTCACTGCCATGGTGGGTTCATTTCTGAGTTTTTTTTACTACACGCATGTTCACACGATCGCCACCCAAAGCTTTGCTCCACAATGAAAGGTCGTGTGTTCGATACCCCGCCCTCCTCCATCAATCTCTGCACTCCCCTGTCACCCCATCACCTCCGCATTACTCAATCATTCACTCACAACACCCCTGTTTTGTATACGATAACGTACATTTCATCTCCTATAGACTATACATTTACAGTATTTTTACAGCATGCTTTCAACTAACAATTTTTTTTTGTATTGCAGCCTTTTAAGCATTCACAACGACACCCTCACAAGAGTCAAACAAATGAGTGTGGCATTAAGATAAGCCAGTGATAGTCACACCAAGAATGCGAACAATTGTCATCATCACCTCGCTGTTTTCGAAGCATCCGCTACTGGCAAGGTGCTGCTGGATAGCTAACGTGGCATAGCTAACAGAATCAGTCAAGGAGAATTAATCCATGGGCACGGGAGTGTGAAGGAATTCGAGAAAACTAAACTCAAAGCCGCTTGTACCATAATATCAGCAGTATTATTTTTTTGTTGACACTATTTTGCACTGGGGAGTGCAAACGTTTAATTCTGGCTTGTTAAATCCAAATTCATATGTGTTGTATCGCAGTTTGTTTTAGCAATTTAGCTTCTGTAGTAGGGTGTATAATGACTCTATTCAGAAATGAAGTTATTATAAATATATTTTAGGCTTCATTTTTTTTTTTTAGGGGCGGGGGGGCGCTCTTTTGAAATAACTTCCCGATCCGGCCGCGTCGCCAGATCCTGTCATGCGATCCTCCACTCGCTCTCAGCCAGGAGGCTTTCATCAACTAGATTTTTTTTTTCTCAGCTTCTTGGCCGTGGTATCTGCAGCGGTCTTCTCGTCTCTCTCTCGTCCCTCCTTCCCTCGTCCTCGTTCGCCGCGATGCTATCAGCAGACGTGTAGACAGACGACTCTTATCGCTATTGTATGTGTGCGTGCCGGTTTTGAGCATCGACAATAGTGGTTACTGTCTGGCCACCTATCGTAGCCGTGATCGCCTCATCGCACTGTCTCCACGTCTGATGCCTGTTTACATCCCCGCCGTCTTCTACATTGTGTGTGTGTGTGTGTGTGTGTGTGTGTGTGTGTGTGTGTGTGTGTGTGTGTGTGTGTGTGTGTGTGTGTGTGCACCTGTTTAACACTCCCAGGCCAGAACATTAGGTACACCTTGTTTTTCCTGGCTCAGGTGATAGCATTGTGGCTCAAACAAACACTTGTCGTGAAGTATTTACAGTACATATTTGATTACAGTGTTTAAAAAAAAAAAACAAACTCAAGTGGAAAATAAAGTTTGTATGACTGTGATGGTGTGGCCCACGAGTGACATCATACCACAGCATCCATGTTGCCGCTATTTTTATCCACAAAGTTAGTAGACGAGTTCAAGACCCCTCAGCACATGTTTTTAATCATCCTCATTATCGAGGAAATGTCTTCTTCTGGTGTAAGTGAAAGAAGAACATTATTGTGTGTGTGTGTGTGTGTGTGTGTGTGTGTGTGTGTGTGTGTGTGTGTGTGTGTGTGTGTGTGTGTGTGTGTGTGTGTGTGAGAAATTCTATCTGAGGAAATGGCTTCTGCAGTCCCAGCCTTTGTAAAATGGAGATGCTAATTTGTTCTTGAATTAAGAGAAGGAAACCCTCTGTGTATACACACACCCACACACACACACATACGCACACACACACACACACACACACACACACACACATTCCACATGACATCAACTTTGTTTAAAGCGTCCATCTGGGACTGAAACAACAGCAGCCGTCAGCAGTAGACTTACCAGGTCCCGTGAATCTCGTCTGTAGTTAATGACACGTTCGTCAAGAGCAACCTTTGTTTGCAATTGTGCCCTGCCGGTGTTTAATAACCTTTCTTTTTGAATTAAGAGATGGAAATGACAAATATTTGGATCATACTCATACGTTTCTTAAAAGGTAGTTGTTGACCGATAAACTGATCAAAAGTTAGTTGGTTTTTACCATTTCATACTGTGCAAATCATTCAAATGTAATATTCGGCGACTCCTCGAGTTTGAGAAACTGTGTGTGTGTGCATCCGTCAGTCACATCAATTCCCCCCCGTCGGCCTTCCGTGTCCAAACCCGGAAGTCACTAATCCGAGGATCACATGACCACAAAGTTGTTGTGGATTTTATTTCAAGACCAATATCGTCTGGCCATCGAAACCCCTGATGACAACACACTGTGCCATCTGCGCGTGTGCACGTTTGTAATAGTGTCTCTGTCCACTTCTATGCATAACATCGTCCTGCATTGTTGCACATCCATGTGGGTGTTTATGTTTGTGAGTGCTATCATCTGCAAACGCTCCACATTCGAACATTGAAATAACTGGTCACTGTGCGTATGTGCAGACTAAATGTGTCTTTGTGTCCACTCAGCTGGCATCAATCAGTGTTTGCGTGGAAGTGAGCCGCTAACAACAATGGAGCCCTTCACTGGACCCTCAGCCTTTTATCAATACGCACACACTTCAGAGATGTCCCGGGGGAGGGTGGTCCACTCGTGCGTATGCGTGTGTGTGCGTGCGCGCACGTGCTGGCGGGTTTGAATTTAAAGTACTGTGTATGGTCAAAGTTACATGAGGACTGGAGGAATTCAACGTCTTGCAGGTTGTGGCTTCTCTCACTTGCTGACCTCAGTTTTTCTTTTTTCTTTTTTTTTTTTTCGGCACCATTGACTTGCGTTTCACCAGTGGGGATCCGCGCGTTTGGTACATGAGCCTTCAATTGGGCTTACGCAATTGACTCCCCAATCATATACTACATGAAAATATGAACAGCAAGCACTTGTTGACATGGCAACACAATTGGACAGGGAAAAAAAAAAGAGCTTTCCACCTACTCCGAGAGGTTCAAGAGGCTACCAGCATGTAACGCATGCCTAGTCGTCATGCCTTATAGTCTTACGAGTGCAACACACTACTTTCAGGTTTAATTCCGTCGGAGGAGGCAAAAAGTGGCACTGGTAGTCGAAAATACATGGCTAGTAAGAGACACAGATATTCTACAAGTGCCCTGGATTGTCTTCCTCGCAAAGACAAAGTGTGGACTAAGACAAGGACCCTAAAATGGCTATCAAGGATATCGAATCAGTGCTCAAAACAGTTTCCATGTCGGGATCTAATTTCCCTCGCCGGATGTATCGGTCCGTCCGTCCATCGTTCAGTGGTAATGACAGTTTTTTGGTTTTTTTTCCCGCCTATATTTGTGTCCAAACACTTGAGTCCAGGTGTCCTGTTGCAGTTGTTGACTTTGGCATGACGTTTTCCTTTTTTGGGTATTATCTTCACAAATGTTCTGGATCCATTCGTCAAGTCAGTGTGGTCCATTAGTCCAGGATCTGCTTTCTCCCGGGCCTTGGGCCTGTCCTCGCTTGTCGTCCTTATCGCTCCGTCATCACTCGTTAACCATGTTCGGAACGGACCCTAGCCGAGGTTCAGGGTTCAACTCACTCGAGGTCTTAAGTTGCACCTTTAAACGTTGATCTCAAAGCTGGCGTTCACTTTTTGTTTGCCCGTTTTCTAGGTCACCGCAAGGACGTGACACGGGGCCCCGGGTCTTGAGTGCTCGTCTGGATGTTGAGCTGAACGCTGTGCTAAGCAGGCGTTCCTCACCAATGCTAGCGTAGCTATCAGATATGAGTCTAACATAAAGTAATACTTGATGCCCTCTGAAAAAATATGGATGGATGGATGGATGGATAGATGGAATGATGTGATTTGTTTTGATGTGTACCTTGACACATGGAATTACAAAGAAAAGAGAAGGTAAAAAAAAATCTCTTTGAGATCTCTTTCCAGCCTTGTCATCCTCACCGGCCGCTATGTTGGTAACTGGCTGGTAAGGAAGTAGCTGTCCATAGTCTGGCTCATGTGTCAGCCCTCGACCTCCGAAGACAAGGAAGGATGAGTAAGGCTGTGGACGTGTTTTCAGGTTGAACCTTTGACTTTATCCTTGGACCTGTTTTGCTTTGAGAAGTTCCCATCTGAGCTTGACGTATAGAACAGCTGGCGTTGCGGATTGAGGGAATGACATGGAATGCAGCACTCATGAACATATGGAGAGTCTGGGTAGTTTCGTATGTGGTTGAGGTCACATCCACATGCTAAAAATCCTGATATAGTGATGGAAGAAGTAATGACTTGTTGTTGTGGCCATCCAGGTGATGTCTCTGGCGGAGGCGGCGGAGGAGAACGCGTGTCAGCTGGAGGAGGCCTTCGTGCGTTTGCGGAGCTCCACGCAGCTACTGGTGCTGCTGCTGTCACTGTGGCAGGGCCTTACCCCCGAGCAGACCAACATCTTGGAGGCCACCATGCTGCCGCTGCTGCACGACACGCCACAATTGGTAGGCATGCTCACTCACTCGCAAACTCACACTGTCTCTCTCTCTCTCTCTCTTACACACACACTTTCGGATAGGTGAGTGCGCTCCCAGTTTGCCTCCCTCCCCTCTAGCCCTCCCTGGTGTCCTCTCCCCCTGCCTGCTGCCATGCTGATAGGCCCCTAATGAGTCCTAATGACAGGTCATCAAGCCTCTAATAACCAACCGCACACACGCTGACTGAGCCAGAAGAACAAGAGAGTTGAAAGAAGAAAGGAGAGAAGAAGAGAGAGCTGAGAGCGGGGGGTCAAGGAGACCACTCGATGACAGACAAGAAGCTGATGTTCCACACTCAAAAGAAGGAAGAGGCAGCATTATACGATTCTGAAGAAAAGAAGTAGATACTACCAGAGGAGGGAGGACGCAACAAAGTACAGATGCTTTGCTCGTCTACTTTTTTTTTTCGTAACTACCCTTCAGTAGATTTTTCAGGTATCTGCACTTTGTGTGTTTATGAATCTAAAACATTTTTGACACCTCCGTCTCAAAGCATGCCCTGATCTTCCCCGTAGCTTTTATTGAACTTCAACATTCATTTGTCGGAGGATGTCTAGACCTGTTGCCCTTCATTTGATACATTGATAAAATGAACAAGTGAGACAAGGATGTCAGGTGTGATTAGGAACAAAAAAAGTCTTGGCTGTCTGCGAATAAAAAAAGTTCAACCCCGGCCCAACGCAGTGCCTTGGAGCGATCCCAACGAGCAGGCGAACGCTCCAGACAGACAACATGATGTCCTGATCTGTCTGGTCTGGGAAAATCATCGGCGGAGGCCAAGAGCAGTCACGACTGTGTGAGAACAAGCTGTACTACGCTGGATCTCCTCACCATCTCCTGAGGATTCCATCCAGATCACAATCAGTTCCTCACAGTGTAGAATTCTCTGGAAAAATTCAGTCAGGGCCATAAATACTGGAACATCGACACAATTCTAATCTTTTTGGCTCATGGATGAGAATTGCGTCCTTGTCCCAACATTTATGGACTTGACCATGTCCCTCACTTGTTTTATTGTCTGGAGGAAGAAAAAAAATATCTAGATGTTGAGGCGACAGAATGCTAACACTTCAACCAAAATGACATAAATATGCTAATGTAAATTAGCATACTACTTTTAAGACACGCTGAGCAGCAACCCATAAAAGCAGAGCTTAGAGTAATTCTCACAGCTACATACTCTGTTACTGGAGCTTAGTTGGGGATGGAGGAAGTGGGAGAAAGAAGGAAAACCGAGAAAGACATTCCCATCCATCCTCATATCATTTCATCTTTCCCCCTCTCACTCGCACACTTGAATCTATTTTAGCAAGTGAGTGCGGCCCACCTCTGGTCTCCATCAAATTTTATGGGGGCAGAAAGAGAAAAAGCTCGTTGCAGCTGTGTTCTTTTTTTTTTTTTTTTTTTTTTTTAAGATTTCTGGAATTTTTGTGTAGCTCAGCTGGATCACATTTAAGACGTCTTCACTCGATGCACTGTTGACTCCGGCCCGGTGTGTTTTGAGAGCCATGATGACTGGAACATTTATCATCCTCATCACCGTGCCTGATTGCTTGGTGGAGGTCGCTTCTCAATGCAAAACGTAATGCTCTCTCTTTAGGAACTCCAAATGTGAAATAGAATTGGTGGAGCCTCACGAAACTGTCTCTGAGATTACTATTGTACTGGATGGAGAGAAAGAGTTTGCAGTGGTGTTTCGCAAGACGGCGATCACATCAATGCACTTTTTAGCTTGTCTGAGTGTCAAGTTACTGATGGTACAGTGTTACCTCTACTTACAAACGTCTCTTGATATGAAAATTTCAAGTTATTAAACGCCTCAACAGCAAAATATTACCTCTTGTTACGAAAGAAATTTCAAGATACGAAAGGTAAAAATACAGTATGGGCTGTTAATCGCAGCTGCGAGTTTCATGAACGCAACATAGAGCTGCTCTGCCATTGGCTACTACCAAGCATCATCCTGGCATCCCATTGGCTTAGAGGGACCCCTGCCGTATGTGTCTATACGTGCAGATAGAAAAATAGAGATGTTTCTATGCAGCGTCATTCGTCTCTCGGGCCATGAGGTGTTCCAATAGTTTTACGAAAATGTGAATCACCCAGAAAAAGTGTTCACCAGTCGGGTGATCGCTCACTATGCTGACGTTCGCCTTGGACATTTTCGGAGGATTGTTAAACGCCGACAAAAGCAAACATCATCAGTTCTTGACAGAACTACAGGCAAAAACCACTTCTGAGAGAGAACATGGACTAAAGAGGGCAAAAAACGAGGATGCAGTTAAAAGTTAAATGATCATCATTTTTATTCTTTACACTATTCTTTGTTTTTTACATCATGCACAACTCATTTATTGTGCAATAATCTAATTGTAACATGTATTTGTTACATATTTTGATGCAATTTTATGCTTTAGGAAACATTTATGTCTGAATTGTGAGGGAACTTGGAACGAATTAGGGCATTTACATGGAAAATGCGTCTCTACTTTTTTTCTTCCGGAACCAATTAATTTTGTAAGTAGAGGTACCACTGTAGTTGTTCTCTTTTGTGCGTGCGTGTGTGTGTGTGTGTGTGTGTGTGTGTGTGTGTGTGTGTGTGTGTGTAAGAGAAATTGTTTTTGTTATTGTCATCGGAGGCTGAGAATAGTAAAAGTGGTAATGAGAGGTTCAAAGGATTGATCAGTGCAATGGAAAAACTAAGACACACACACACACACACACACACACACACACACACACACACACACACACACACACACACACAACTAAGACACACACACACACACACACACACACACACACACACACACACACACACACACACACACACACACACACACACACACACACACAGACATACACGCACACACACAGCAGTTCCAGAAAATGAACACGCACACAACCACATAGTGTCCCCCCCACGCACGTACACTCTCCCTCAGTAACCTTGACTTTGTGAGCGTGTGTGTGTTTGCTCTTGGGTGAGTGGGTGAATAATTGTGCGCCCGAGTGTGCCATACGAGCGAGTGAGGAACTGCGTGTGTGCCAGTGTGTGTGTGTTTTGCGTGGTCGCGCGCACGCAAAACACGATGACAGTGCATCAAAGTGACCCTCGCCCCTCCGCGTCTCCCCCCTCAGGGCTGGGAGGAGAGCTGCGACGCGGCCGTGTCTCACCTCCTGAGGACGTGTCTGTCTCGCAGCCCCAAGGACCAGGCCACCACGCTGGCCCAGGCCGGGGGTCCCATGCTGGGCCTGCCCCGAGACACGGCCCGCCTCAAGAAGCACATCACGCTGTTGTGTGAGCGTCTGGCTAAAGGGGGACGCCTCTCACTGGCCTCCGAGGCCAACGCCCCGGTACCCGCCCAGGTCCAGAACCTGGCGGGCCCCGGTGAGTCCACTCGATCTGCCCGTGTTAAAAGTCAGATTTGATGACACATTTCTCCTTCCTACTCCTTTCTCTTGTCCTTGACCCCTTTGCCTCCATTGCCTCCTCCTTCCCTCACTTCCCTTTTCTCATAGGTCCTTCCTTTCTTCCTTACCTGTCATCCTATTCTCTTGACTACTTCCATCCCCACCACACTCCCTTCCTGGTCTCCTCTGGCCCCTGCTTCTAATCCCTCCATCCTTCACTTCCACTTTCTCTAGGCTGCTCTCCTTTCTATTTCTTTCGTTGCTCCTTTTCTCTTTCCTAGAGTTCATTCTCTTCTTTTCCACTCTTCCCATCCTTCACTTCCTCTCTTTAGAGTCCAATGCTTACTCTTTCCTTTTCTCTCTTTGCCCCTCACTCACTCCACCTTACTCCCTTAGCTCCTTTGTTCTCCTGCCCCCTCCTCCTCCCTCCTTCTCCTCGAGCATCTTCTGTCATTTGTTCCCTCTTTATTTCACTCCCTACTTCCCAGATCCTTCCTTCCCACGCAGTCCCTCATCCTTCTCTATTATTTCCTTCCTTTCTTCACGCCCTCTTTCCGATTTTCCTCCTCCTCTCGTGCCCTTGTTCCCTATCCTCTTTCCTCCTGTCACCCTCTGTCCTCCTTTCCCGCCTTCTTTAGCTCCACCACCGATCCTTCACACTTTCCCCAATGTGCCGATATCAACTCATCTCCTTCGCTCTCCCTACTTCTCCATCCTTCTCTTCCTCTCACCTTTTCTCTTTTCTTCCCTCTTCCCCTTGCACCCTCGTTTCCTCCGCATGTGTGACATCAGGCCTCTGAGAGTCCTATAAAACTTTAAAGTCTGGTTGTGAAGCCGTGCTTGTAACTATTCTATTAGAACCACAAGTCAATTCATTAACTCTGTGCGTGTGTGTGTGTGTGTGTGTGTGTGTGTGTTTACATTTGTGTTTCCTTGTCGCCTCTGGCTCACAGCCGATGTGCTCTCTCTCTCTCTCTCTCTCTCTCTCTCTCTCTCTCTCTCGCACACAAACACACAAACAGGCCTATAAGCAGTAATTTATTTGCCGTCTCAGATGTTTCTTTTTCACCCAGCCGTAGAGGTACACACTTGTTTATTTTTCCAACAACACCAACGGCAAACATTTCCACTTCTCTACACACGCACGCGCGCCCACATATGCTCCCATCGTGCACAAAAAGCCCCACTTGGCCTGGGTGTTTCTGTGTAATTGAGTGTAAATGATAGCTTTTGGGTGGTAGAACATTCCTCAGTTCAACATATAGGCTAAGATGGTCACACAGGGTAATAAAAGTAGACATAAAAGCAACAATATCAATAATTGTAGCTTTATCGATCCTAGAGGTTTATGGATAGGCGCTGTTTACAGTGAGCCCTTGTTCTTTGCGAGGGATATTTTCCAGACTCACCTGTGAAAGGTGGAAATGGACAATTTAGAGAGACCATTTAATTTTTTGTCATTTAATTTCACCCCTCCCAAATGCTTGAAACACATTTAAATGTATTACAATACATTTAAACTTATCAAAGCAGTTTTAAAAATATTCCTTAACATCTGGTCTCACTCTCGTTGTGAAGAAATGGAAGGATATCATATAAAATCACTCTGAGGAAAGGAAAAGGAGACTCCAGCTTACACAGTTCTGCAAATAGGAGTGCTTGCTTCAAGCTGTGTGTTACTACCAGTTGAAGTTTACTGTAAAACCAACGCCTAAAACAAAAGAGAATCCAACATTATAAATTCAACCCTTTCACGGACACTTGACAGTGGACAGCTTTTCATGTTCTCAGGTTACAGGGTGCATGAAAGCGTCAAACACCAAAATCTAATCATTTAACTTTGTCTAACAGTAGTCTGTCAGCCTCATGCTAACATACTGTAGAATGTGAAACACACATAGGACTGCAAACAGAAAGTAGCATAGATGCTACAATAGTCACAGACCTCCAAACAGCTGCTCCTCTAACACAGGCATATATTCTCTGTTCTCTGTGGGCGCAATGGCTGTCACTAGAATTTAGTTGGGGACCTTCTCTGCCTCGGCTTCTTGCTCTGCAATGCACCTCTTCCAATAGACCTCAGTCCTGGTTGGCATGTTGTGGCACAATACTAAATTCGGATTTGCCTGGACACTAGTAGGCATTTTTAGTCGGCCATTTTTAGACGTGTGGGGCTGGTTGGAGCGAATGCTGTTTCCCTGAGATGTCTTTTAATTAAAAATAAACATCCTTCCTGTGGTAGCATCACGTCACTTTTTGAGGTCAAGACATTTTTACAGTGCACCAATGTAAAATTCACACGCTTGTTTGAAAACATTTATTAGGTCTCTGCAGAAGTTTTATGAACACGTTTGACCTGCATTTATTGGTCAATGAAAAGACGAAACGCGAGCAGCTACGTGCTATATGCAGCTACGAGACACTCAATGTGATTTTGTTTTTCAAGGTAAGCACTGTTAATGTGCTTTCTCGTAGCTGTTTGCGCTCAAATTTTTCTCTTTATGGTTATTTATCAACAAACAAAACCCAGTTACACATTTGTACTGTTTTTCAGTTTGTGGTGTGTGTGTGTGTGTGTGTGTGTGTGTGTGTGTGTGTGTGTGTGTGCGCGCGCGTGTTATTTTCACAGTGCTGTGCTGCTAGCTGTGGTTTGAGGCCAATGTCTATTTTAGACTGAAAGAGAAGGGAGAGGATGGGCTGGCTGTGTGTGTGCCCGTGCGTGCGTGTAGATAGAATATGTAAATTTGTGTGCATATGCGCTCGCATTTTTGTGCGTTTAGATCATGTAAAGTAGCCTGCGTGTGCGTGTGTGCGTGTGTGCGTGTGTGCGTGTGTGTGTGTGTGTCAGGTCTTGGTGCAGCTGTCTTTGTTGTGTCTCTGCGGCGTATACAAATTGAAGAGTGGAGCTCCCTGCAGTTCTAAAAATAAATGCCAGCCGATCAATAATTAACACAAGCCTCCGCCTCCTCCAGGAAATATCAAATATTGTAGACGTTTTCCACACATCTACACGCACACACACACACACACACACACACACACACACACACACACACACACACACACACACACACACACACACACACACACACACACGAAAACATAGTGGGGTTACAGATGAACACACTGAGTTCCTCGGAAGGTTCTTGCATCCATAAGAAGGCACTGCTTATCAGAGCGTTTGAGGTGGGGGCGCGGGTGTATTTTTAAGAGGTCCAGGAATCTTATGCCAGAATATGTAACTTTTGGAAAACCTTTCCTTGTATGGACCAAGGGAACTACAGTGGGACACTGTAATCAGTCAACCAACCTATTTATAGTGTGACAAGTCGTCACTTTGCTGTTTGGTGACATGGTGTGTACCACACGAAATGTGGACTAAAGCAAGCGAATGAGAGAGTTGTCTCAAGACATTAGAAAGAAAATTATAGGCAAGAATGTTAAAGCGAAAGGCTATTAAAAACCATCTCAAAGCAGCTTGATGTTGATGTACAGCAGCTCCTTGCGCGTGTTCTCATTTTGTATTTGTGTGGCAAATGTGGCTCTCCTCACCCACATGTGAGAGCATGACAGTGCACTAACTGCTCCATTTTTCTTTTTCACTTAACTCAAGCAAAGGCATATTTGAAGCTTGTTTGGAACTGATATTTTGGCTGACAAAACAACCGAGTGACAACTCGAAAACTCTAGAGGTGGGGCACTCTGAAATCAAAGGACCACTGTCCCTTTCAGGGTGTGTACTTTACTTCAGTGCAGGAGTTCAATCAATACTTGTACTTTGAACACAATCTTTTCTGACACATCACATATCTTTACTGTCAACCTAACTACAGAGTGCTACTGAGCAGCTACATGGAATTTAATCGTGATTTAGATTTTGGCTTCTTATGATCACAAAAACAATGAATGTGTCAAATAGTGGCGTGATTGTTTGCAGTTTCCTACGTTGTGAAAGCACCCTGAATGCACAGTGTTGCTGGCATCTAGTGCTTTTTTAATGACAGCCCACTTGGAGTTTACTGTAGAACTAAACACACAAAAGAAATAATTATACGCATGGTATGTTTTAAAAACACAACATGCCTCATTTTGGCCACAGCTAATGCTAATGCTAGCAGTTCATAGGGAAATCTTAGCTCATAGAAAGTTAGCATGAAGTTTGGAGAGTCATAGTCCTTCAAATTATGCATAGACAAGGCAGACAGGCAATAATATGACAATGCTAACACGTGTGTATTTTTCCTGATCTGAATGAATTTGATCCAATGAATAACCGTGCCCGTGACATCTTTATTTATATCGGGATTTCACAACAGCTTTAGCTGTATGGATACATAATCATGTTTATTAAACGTGATTTAAATATCAATCAAAATTGTCGTAATTATTTTTTACATAATCACCAAGCCCTGCTACAGAGAGCAAGAACCATTGCCGCTTCTGCCAGTAATATTCCGAGAACTACACGTTCTTGGTGGATTTGGTATGGCGGAATGTGTCTTCCTCCTGTATTGTCTTTATTTGTGTGTGCGTGTCTGTGTGTATATGTACTGTAAATAGCGCGAAGGCCGCAGGCAAATTGGAGCTGTCCGCACAGCCGTGTCACCCTCACGTTGAGGCCGCAGCCTCCCGGAATAAAGCAGGAATGTGCTGATGAGAAGCAAACCACACGTTGGAAGTATTTTGGGATGCAGCCGACGCGCTCGCTCCACAAGAGTGTCGCTGGGATGACAAACCCAAACCGTCCAACCCAAGCGTTCTTCCAGCTGTTGTTGACGCACCCAAACCCTTCTGTTTATTTTTATTTTGCACATTTTTTTGAGTGCAATCAAGCGGAACCCACATTGTCTGTCTTTTCGGACAACGCAAGTGCAAAAATGTCCCGACTCAAACATTCCATGAATGATGTTCTTCATCTTTAGCATCAGGGAAGGGGAAAAAAAAAAAAAAAACAGCGCACCATTTTTTGACTGCGCTCTGTCCCGCCCACTCTTGATTTTCGACAGATAATGGTAACATGGCGCTTTATATTGTAAGTCTGAGTAAAAGAGCTAAATTGACCAACAGTTTTTAGTTTAACAATGGAATCGCAATGCAAGTTTTCAGATTTAGCCCTCGATTATGTTTTGTGCATTTTAGTCATAAAGAAAATATTAGTTTTAAATAATTAAATTATTTAAAAGACAGCATCAGAAGCAGAAGATCACAACCTTTTTTTTGATTGATTTTCTCATAGTTTTTAGGGATTAAAACTTTAGACCAGGTTCATTTGACCCACAAAGGGAGGATTTAAATTTATATTAAAATAGAAGATTACATTTTAAAACTGTGACAAATGGAAGGTTTTTGTGGGGTGTGGAGAACTCAAGAGCAACGACTTACAAAATACAAAGATGCAATCACCAATACTAAATGAGCCAAGTCCCCCTACAAACAATATTCACAACAACAAACAAACACTCGGAAGTGACTCACCATGACTGAGAAAATTCCATGACTCTGGGGCATTACACCTGACAGCAACAGCAATGGAAACATTGAACCGACCCAGACAGACAGTAGACAACTAAAACGTTTCTGACATAACAAAAGCACTTTTATTTCTCATTGTGAAATTGTATTCACTTTCCATTTTGTGGTGTCTCATGCTGTGTGTGTGCGTGCGTGCGTGCGTCTTTCACCTTCACATGGAGCAACAGCTCCTAAAAGCGGCCCCCTTTTCTAGTTATAAGACTGAGGTCCATGCGCGCGCGCACACACGCGCACACACACACACACACACACACACACACACACACACACACACATTCCCACCAAAATTGTTAGACAGCGTTGAAGAGGGGGGATGCCAAAAAGTCTATGGCCTTAGAAAAACACCTGCCCAATTAAGAGCGAAGCATATCCCATTTCAAACGTGTGTGTGTGTGTGTGTGTGTGTGTGTGTGTGTGTGTGTGTGTGTGTGTGTGTGTGTGTGTGTGTGAGAGAGAGAGAGAGAGTCCCACATGCTGCGCTCTCACCAAACTGAACAAGAGTGGCTTTAAACAGGCCAGGATAAATATTAGAGGGTTTAGGCTAATCTTCACACACACACACACACACACACACACACACACAACCAAAGGGGGTTGGGGACACTCACATTCTCAGACAACTTAAGGTCGACATGATAGCAGACGCACATGCAGTCTGCAGTCTCCTCTACGTGCATTGACAGCACACACTCTCTCACACACACGCATGGAAAGGGGACACAAAGGCAACATGTGTGCCGTGGATGTTAACGGAAAGCAGCGTGAAACTGGGAATGATCGTCAGGGATGAGAGGAAATGAGGAGTGAGCCAGGAGCCATGAGGGTAGGGGGGAAGAGGGGGAGAAGGGGGGGTGCAAGGAGGAGAGGATGGAGAAGGGGAAAGCAGGGAGGAGGAGGAGAGAAAGCATGGTAGGGTGAAGTAGAGGAGCACTTGGTGGACAACGCAGGGAGGGAGGAGGTGCAGGAGACGGGGGGGGGAGATGAGGAGGGCGATGATGAACAGAGGGAGACAGGGAGGAGGGACGGACAGCAGACAAGGCGTCCAATTCATCCATCTCAGGAGCTCCTTAAATCCCTCAGTGATCCCCGGATTCCCATCGGGGATTAGCTCTCTCACACATACACGCAGCCACACACTCATTCACACTCATGTTATTCGATGGTGTTTCTTTTTCTTCTGTGATCAATCATCTGACATCATAAAATGCCTCTCAAGCTTCATTCTTAAGTTTTTTTTTTCCCCCCACTTATTCTCAACGTTCACCAGGACTGTTAGGATATATGCATAATATTTAAACAACAACCAGTTCCAAGCAAGGTCGTTTCATGAGCAGAGATGTGAAAAAACTCACACAACGCAGAAAGTAAAAACTAGGCCAAATGATGGTAAAACAATGCTCTGTCTATAATTCATATATTTATTGCTGTAAGTGTGAAGGGATGGAAAAAAAAAATCATGTTCATTTTATTTTTTGAACTAATCAGCTGCCTATTCTGAATTTCGTTCTGCCAAGTATCAGAATCCATCAAAATTAGTCCTAAAACTAATCCTAACTTCTGCCTTTCAGGCGGCGTGGAGCCCATCGCAGAGCTGGCGGGAGATGAGACGGAAGAGCCTCAGGACGCCACCAAGTTCATCAAGAAGAAACAACCTTCAAAAAAAACCAAGAAAGGTACTCCACCCTCCTCCTCCTCCTCCTCCTCTTCCTCTTCCCCCCTCCTCTTCCTCAGGATGATAATTGGCAGCTTGTCATTGAAAGCAGCACACTTTCATCCAAACACGTCACCAATGTGACAATAGGAAGTGGATCAAGAAGATGTGTGCATACATGCATGTGTACACACACACACACACACACACACACACACACACACACACACACACACACACACACACACACTCATCAACATTGAAATGCACTGAGGTTGGTTTCTTGCCTACAGCAGGAAGGTTAGTTTCTCTTTGATGGGCTTAACCTTAGTTAGCTTATCACACAGGTGTCGAAGTCCGGTCCTCGAGGGCCGGTGTCCTGCATGTTTTCCATCCCTCCCTGCTGCAACACACCTGATCCAAATGATCAGTTCATCAGCAAGCTCTATCGGAGCCTGATAGTGATCTTGATCATTTGAATCAGGTGTGTTGCAGCAGGGAGGGATGGAAAACATGCAGGACACCGGCCCTCGAGGACCGGACTTCGACACCTGTGGCTTATCATGTGTGCATGCGCGTGTGTGTTTAGTGGTCATCCTCCCTGGCGTCATCAATAATGAGAAAAGGGCGTGTGGCACGCACACGACACGCAAACACATCTGTGGGAACTGTGACAGCAGATCATTTTGGGAGCTGATCGGCCTCTTCTTCTTGGTGTCAATTACGCCGCATCTTCTAAGCGGACCTCAGTGCTGCCCGCCATGTTGTGGCACATTTTGGTACTGCACTGATGGCACATATTGCTCAATTCCGATTGTAGGAATGTGAAAACACATCAAAACGACCGTTCGAAAATGTGCCATAGGACGGGGATTCACCTTAGTGTGAAGCACTCGATTTCATAGCACCACCACTCCCGTCTCCGCCATATTAAGCAGACATGGCCCGAGGCTCTGGCGTCCCTCTGTTCACCTCATTCGCCTTGATGAACAGCGTGTGTAGTTTCAGGACAGGAAGTGACTTTTGATTGACTTGAAAGGCATCAGAAGGTGTCTTGTGGGCGGGCCGTCACATAGGAACCACCTACACCATCCTTTCATATGTTCAGTCTTTTTAAGACACACTTCAAAGACGTCTTCCTTCCGATTCTGCAGCCCACCTGGGATTAAACACCATGCGCGCGCGCGCGCACACACACACACACACACACGCGCGCACACACACACACACGCACGAACATGCATTAGTTCTCTATTTGAACCCTCACAATGCAGCTACTGTTTTATTTATTACTAATTGCTAACAGAAGGCCCATTTGTAACGTCTGCTAATTGCTAGCAGCGTGCCTATCTATAGCATCTCTTAATGGCCAAGGGCACGCGGCAGCGTATTCAAACTCTGTGGAAACACAGCCGCACATTCAGATTAGCCACAAACATGCGCTGTTAGCATCCAAGGCTGGCTAATGTTTATTTGGCGCACAGGATGGTACCTATTAGCAGGCAACATTAACAATTAGCTGAAAGTGTTAGCATGATGGTGGAGCTCGTCCATCAGCTGCGTCAAAGCTGTTACCTGAGTTTGACCAAGGTCACGACGGTTAACTGCAGTAATAGTAAGTGCGTGCGTGTGTACACAAACAGCTTGAGGCATGGTGTCCTTGCTGATGTGACAGTAGAGCATTTTGACACATGAATGTTGTACAGGCAGCACAGCGGACAAGTGGGTAGCACTTCTGCCTCACAGTTCTCAGGTTTGGGGTTTGATTCTAATTTGTTCGAAACTGAATGTGAACGTCAATGTTTTTTTTTTTAATAGCTACGTGCGCCATGAAATTACATTTTGACCAATTCTTCGACTGGCGTCTTGTCCAATTTTTTTGCCTGTATGTGGTATGACACACTTGAAACACTCATTTATTGGCAAGCATTCTATTTTACATTGGAATATTTTTCTTTTTGATGCGCTCTTCTACTGTAGTTTCTAATTATTTGAGTGTCATAAAACCAGGAACTGGTGTGCGGACGTGAAGGTATGGCGTCACGTATTACTTTTTCCGCCAGTCAGCAGTAAATCTCTCGCCTCGCCATCGAGTAGAGGGCTGGCTTCTGGTAATTTGGTTGGGGGGTGAAATGTTTAAATTCTATGTTTTTAGCTTTAGTTGCACGTTGGAGCGCCGCAGGAGTTAGTATTTTTGCCTCTCCGGGGGGGTTCCGTGGCCTTTAAATTGGTGCGTTGACTAAATTACAGCTGGTTTTCTGGAGCATGCGTCCCAACTCAAACATATTCAGTGCGTCGTTCTCAAAATAACTATATTCACGTTAGGCCGCTCTATCTCGCCCTCCGTGGGTGTCCTGAACCTCGCAAACCCAGAACGCACCCAACGTCCCCTGAGGAGTATTTGCTTGGTGGATAAATGTCCGACAAATGTCCTCATCGGCAGGAAACCAAGTGGTAATGTTTACTTTATGCTATGATGCAATGCAAGGAAAACCAAATGTGGTCATTCAGTGAGGATTACGCGTCGTGCGTTGAAAGCAACTACGTGGCTTTGCTTTTGATAAGTCAGATTCACTTCATGCTGACAAACACTACAAAACACCAAATATAAGATAACAGAGCATCAGCAGTAGGGTTTCATAATCCTTTAAGAAATGGATATTTGAACACAACCAGTGGAGCAACACACATAGCCAGATAATATAACAATGCTCATAGGCATATATTCTTTATCCTCTGTGAAGAACAACTATTAACACGGCATGCTGAGAAGCTGGGACGTCCCCATGTACAGCATATCCATATATTTGTGTTGCACTGTCCCAGGTTGCCAAAGCGCGCACACCAGAAGCAACAGCATGCTCATTTGAATTGAAATGTTAAAAAATGTGACAAAAGCAAGTTCTTTCTTTGCATACTATTTAACTGCGTCATTACTGAGTGCTATTTTTCTTAGTCTGCAATGCATTACAAACATTTTTATTGTTTTGGAACTCTGCATTAGATTGTTGTTTGTTTAGCTTTATTGAACACGTCTGTATTCTTGTTTTCTTTTTTTTTTTTTCTTTCCTGAAATTCCCTTCATAACGTCCTGAGCACTTCTCTATAAAACATTGAATGCAGGATTCGTCCGAAATGGTGTGTGTGTGTGTGTGTGTGTGTGTGTGTGTGTGTGTGTGTGTGTGTGTGTGTGTGTGTGTGTGTGTGTGTGTGTGTGGTCACAGTAAACAAAAGATGAATTGGAGCTAATCAGTCTCATGTGGAACATTGTGCCGCTTATCCTACTTTTCCCCAAGGTTTTAACATATCGGCTGGTAAAGAGTGTTTTAAGAGTCGCGACATTGCCATGCGTGAACCAAAGAAGCGCCGGCGCGCTGTGTTGACAGAGCGCTGACGGGCTTTAATGCGAGCATAATGTTGCGCTAATGTCGCTGCCGCCGCATTATCTGATTGGCTATTTTTGTGCCACATCAAATGCTGCCGGCTATTATGTAAACATGTTCCACATATTTGTTGTCATTGTCACCAGTGGAAAGTTCAATGTGCTTCTAAGCCCCCCCGACAGCCGCTAGCTCCCGTCACCGACCTTCATGAACCTTTGCAAGCGTGTCTTTAATCTGACTTTGATGGCGGATAGACACCGAGATCCGATCACATTTGAAACTTAACTGGACATTAACGTAAATCATAGCCTGTCATTTTGTCGGCAGACAAACATGGTGCAAGTTTTAAATATTGATGGACAGAGCGAGAATTTCTTGACGTGAAAAACATGGGAAAGTACAAAGCTTGCTGGACATGGAAGAATGTGGGACATGGTTAATATTTGGAAGGATGTAACGATATGGGAAATATGTAGAAGGACGGGATTTGTCATTGGACGAACATGGTGAAGATTTTTGACGACTTTGGTTAGATTAGATTTCTCCCCGTTCCTGTCAGCCATCTCCCTCGTGTCGACCAATCGGCTCTCTCCAGCCATTGGTGTTTTGTCCAGGTGTGCCTCATTGTCTCGCCAACTTGTGGGAACAACGTAGAGAAAATATAAGTGAGGAAAGATTTATGTCACAATGTGAAAAGCTTTGCAAGAAATGAAAGACACAGGAAAGCCAAGGATAAATATGGCAAAGACATGCCAATATGTACGGGAAAACATGGAGGAAAAAAAAAACGATGGGAAAGTCAAAGTCATGGAAGAGCAGCCAAAGTCACGGGAAAATGACACGGACCTCGCGACTGGCGTAATAGAGATGAGCCTCGCGGACAAAGCGGCCATCCCTTTCTGAGAAGCCGTTCATGTTTGGCTCATGAATAGCCTACGACACGTAACGCATAACACGTGTGGCGGGGTCGCGTCCAGTCAGCTTGTCGCTCCTCGGGGAACGGCCATCGGCGCTGAATGGCCTCCCTGTGGGATGCCGGTGGAGGAAGTTGAACTTCCAGAGTGGAGGAGTCTCAACTTCACACTGTGCTGCTGCTTTTCACATCACAAAGCACAACAAAGCCAAGATGTACTGTACCCTTCACGACGTAGCACTACACGTGACGCTACTTGACGTGACATTGCAGTCAGTAATTTCGTCGTCGTCATACAAGATAGACATTTGCCTTCCCTTCCCTCGAAGCACACAGTTGTGAGGATCACTTCGAGTCACAAATGTTCCTTTATGTCGTTCCAGGTTGACCACTAAACTTTAATATGCAGTGGCGGTTAACTATAAGTTATATTTATACACGTGGTGGATATAAGAAAGCTATCTGCCAAGAAAGCGGCCTTTTAAATACAGACCCCCTTTGTCTGCACTTTTCTCTCCCCCAAAACTTATCTCCACAAATCCCACAGACAGCTTGTGCTTTTTTTTTTTCGCCTCCATGGGGCACCCACCCACACATTATGTTATTAGTTATAATTTCTTCTTCAACTGTTTGATCCCTAAAATGCCTCAAAAATGTGCAACAAATGGACTTTTTTTCCCCCTCCCTCCCATTTATCTGCTCATATTTAACTCATTTTACATCCAT